AGTAGCCAAAGCGATTTTGCGCATTAATTTTGCATTGGAGTTGCAATCCCTTAATGAAGCCATACTTGCAGACAAGCCGTGATAGGCATACCGATTCGACCATAAGACCCTAAAACCATCACCTACATTGAGCTTATAGGCTGCCCGAGAGCCGTACAGACGATATCGGGCTCCGGAAACATGGGCTTTCAGTAGGGCACTCCATCACTCGTGCACAGGATCAGCTAACAAACATCGCCAAGGGGTATACCTATTATTTGGCCCAGAGCACCGACTCAGAATAGCTCCACCACACAAAAATGATATAGAGCACAGAACACATCCAATCGATACTACTCAACTATGGTTCTATATCTTCCATCCGTTCTCCATGCGCATTGGCATACCGCATCTCGTATATGTCTTGAGAATATTTATGGGCCTCAAAAGGTGGTGTTACAAGCGACAAAAGAGAGATATGGGCTGAACTGGAAATGCTTCCGAAGCTGGCAAGTGATCTTGCGCCCATTAATTGTATTGAGTTTACCAATCCCTTAATGTGAAGCACTTGAAGGCAGCCGGCCCCCCCTCTGAAGGCATACCGAATCGACCATAAGACCCTAACACCATCACCATAGATGAGCCGTAATAGGGCTGCCCCGAGAGCCGACAGACAGATATCGGCTCATCGGAACAGAGGCTCAGTCAGGGCTCCTACTGACCAAAGGGCGAGGTTTACTAGCGGATTGATTGGCCGCGCCCCGGAGCCACGTGGCTCCGGATCAACCAAAAATGATACAATGCTTAATAAAATCAACAACATAACATGTGATCTCTGTAAAACTGGGATTTTTCAAAGCTGATAAGAACAATGTAGTAGGAAATATATGGCCTCCAAAAATGGGTTAACACTACTATAAAATGGACAATGAGCGACGAGACAGAGATGCATATGGGCTAAAAAACTGCAAATGCTTCTGGTGAAGTGGTGTGGGGCCCCCAAACCCGATTTGCGCGAAATGAATTAATGCCCTTTTAGTTGAGTGGTGTTCAATCCTTAATTGAAGCGTCGAAGTGGTGGGAATAATGGCATGCAGCCTTTGATGGAGGACATGGCACTCCTAGATTTAGATTTCTTATCCATAAGACCCTAAACCATCACCTACATTATGAAAAGTACCCTGAGTTTTTGGTAGGCTGGGAAATGTGCGCTGCAATGTGAGAGCGCCTTGGGACTCAATACATTGTAATGCGAATCAGTGTAATAGTTCCATGATTCTGTGGCTGACACCAATCCGGGGCTATTTTTTTAACAGTGGCGGGAGCTGGTTCAGTCATGGCCTGTCCTAACGGTATTCGGAATGATAGCATAGGGACACATGCCGAGAACTTGGGTATGTTTGATAACATTCGCTATGAGGTAAGAAATGCCGGTTTTTGCTCAGCAATCTTGATTTTTTCCTTGCTCGTTTCTTTTGTTTATTCATCTCCATATACAATGATTTTGTTTGGGAAACATAGGAGTTTGTTGGCTTTTGGATAGAGTAGCCATTGGAAATTGTTAGTCTGGATTTATTGATTTTGGTGGAAGAAACCCACAGCTTTTAGAATCGGCAGCATAAACGGGGCACTCAGAATCAGGATAATATCTGTAGCAGGCCAGCACAAGAGATGACTTGAATTGTGTACAGATGACTGGTCAGAACCACGCGTTTGACACTATGTTTGCTTCATTAGGAGTAATATATATTTGTTTACTTAGGCCGTTGCATATATTCCTTCTATTGTCCTCACTGCATACAATGTGGCGTCACCACCACATTATTTACTGGCTTCCACAGAAGCAGGAAGATATTACAAATTGGAGACATGAGTATGGTTATGAAGATTGAGACCGACGTGGATGTCGGGCATTGATTTTTCACTAGTGAGCTAGATATGCGTGGTTTCATAAACAAAATGGTAATGAGTCGCATAAAGAATTGGTTGCTCCCATTTGTAAAAACAACCAGGGCCTCGCTACATGATAAGTTTATTTTCGATGGGTGTGCTGAGGCAGTTTAGATTATGCTCAGAATGTGCAAGAACGAAAGGTTGGCACCCGAAAACCTTGTTCCCGCATGTTTCAGTATTGAATCCATTGTCTTGGCGAGGTACTGCCTCTTGGCATCACCTTCTTCAGTTCATCCTTTGAGGACTAGTCTTATAAGCATGACTCAATCAGAGGAGGGAATTTTCTTTGTTTTTTTTTTCAAAGAAAGAGACAAAATCCCCAAAGTCGATGCTGCCAACTGTCTAAAGAGCGTGCAAAACTTGGTTTTCAAAATTTAAATTTGTTATTGGAACAATTAGTTTAATTGGATATTTCATTGTTGCCCCTTTTTTGCTCTGTCCTTTTTCCCGTCTCTCTTTTTTTTTTTTTTTTTTGTTCATTTAGGTTAACAATGCCTGTTTAAATTTGGAGTTGCGACATTTTGGGTGAGCCTAATGGGCAGGTTCAAAGCTAGTAACTCCTTTTTATTTTTTTTTTTTTTTTTTTTGTTCATTTAGGTAACAATGCCTGTTTAAATTTGGAGTTGCGACATTTTGGGGGAGCCTAATGGCAGGTCAAGCTAGTAACTCCTTTTTATTATTATTATTATTATTTCCTAATGTAACCGAGCATAATTGTTCAAAAAAAAAAAAAAAAAACTCTGAATTCTATCCAGGTGTTAAATTAGCATTGAAGGATATTATGTTTTATCTCATTTTGTGGAAATTAATTGGTAACATTTCTTGAGCAAGTTTCTCTGGAAGATATGAATTGGAAATTGGGTTTAGAGGAACTGCTTAAGAAGTATAATGAGCTGAGTTTGATATTCTATTTAACAACAATAACGCTCTTATGTTTTCGGCCAAGCCCATGCAAAGGATACATTTCTTGGAAAAAGCAAAAGCATGTGCATCTACCAGCCAAAAAAAGATTGTTCGATCTGATAATTTAGTTTCTGCTAGTTCCTAATTCTATATTTGAGGAGTGAACAGACCAGGTTTTGGAGCCTCTATTCTTTGCCAGTCTGTAGTGGGGGATAGCCGATGGGGTTAGGTGTTGGTTAAGCGGAGGAGGGGAGGATAAATGTTAGCTAACACGCCACCAAAAAGTGACATCGGGAATTGTATCTTTTTTGGGTCAATGCTCCTCTCGTCTCCTCTCAGCTCAGGCTAAGGTGACGTTTTTGTTTGGGATAAGACTGTGAAAGTTGTGAGATGTCTCTTTGACTTTTAACTTCACTAATTTATTAAGGACCATATTCTATTTATATGCTTTCCCTAACAAGTTCAAATTTTCAATCACGTCCCTCAATATTTTTGCATCCCCGTCCCTCCATTCCTAAATTTAAAGTTTGAACCACCATAATATCAGATTAGAAATAAATGGTAAAATGGGAAAAATTGTAAATTACATGGTTTTTTATATGTTTTTTTCTATTAACGAAATGATAGATTTTACTTAAATCCATACATTATATAAAATCCGTCATTTTCAATATCCTTAATCCAAATATGCCCTTTTTGTATTTGAACTTGGGGAAAAAATTGGATCGCATTGACAAGGGTTTCATAGAAAATAAATGTTGAAGTATGGGGCAGGTTTAAGAATAAAATAAATAATAGGGTGTAAACGAAATTATGGCAAAAAATAGGGACTCCTAACTAAAAGCAACACCAATTAAAATACTTTAATTAAGGCGGGAGATTAATCAAATTTGATTATGAGCCTTTTTTTGTATCAAAAAGCTTCATTAGCCCAGAAACCCTTCCCCAAGAGAGCAAAAGCCAACAGACAAAGAGAGCACAGAAAAAGAGAGCTCAAACAGGCAGAGGCACTGACGGTTTTTGCATAGAAACGAGACGCTAACAAGAATCTGACGTTGCTCAATTGCTTTTGCCTTCTCCATTTACTTACTTAGATTTATTATCCATGGCCGATCTGTACGGAACTGCTACCTCTCCGGCTCCGGAGCCTGAAGAAATCTCATCCTTCCTTCACCATCTACTCCACAATTCCTCTTCATCTTCTTCTTCTAAATTCATGCAGAATGCTCTCTCTTCTCCACCTCCCGCGCTGCCGCCGCAGGCCGATTCTTCACCAGCAACTGAATTGTTGTTTGGCCGGTCGCAATCAGGGTGTCTAGCCGATGGCCGGAGCTCCTGCGTTAATTTCTCCGATCCCGGTGGTTATTTCGCAAAAGAGAGTACGGAAAATGCTGTCTCTTCGGTTATGTCAAAGAGGAGGGGAGTCTCCGTGGAGAATGATCTGGGTGACTTAAGCTGTGATAGCGAGGTAATCGTTGATTGACATTTGAAGAATCTGTATTGATTTCTCTGTATTTTTTTTTCTTTCTCAAAATAAGCTTTTTTGCTAAGTAATGGAACTTAAATGTGAGATTTATCAACTGCGATTGCTAATCGTTTGGAATTTTGGAGATGATGTGTTCCCTTACACTTTTTAGAAGGGTGCAGAGGTTTCAGACATGCCGTCAGAAACAGCGCGGCCTCGAACTTCCTCCAAGAGGAGCAGAGCTGCAGAGGTTCATAATTTATCTGAAAAGGTTAGCTCTTAGGACTCTAATTATGCCCAATTATCTGCGTTTGTGTGTTTTTAATGTAAAATTTGATTCATGGGCTTGCTTGGAAATGGCTGAATTGTTCATAGAGGAGGAGGAGTAGGATTAATGAGAAAATGAAGGCCTTACAGAATCTTATTCCAAATTCTAATAAGGTATTCCTCAACAACTTCTCAAACCTGTGAACTTGAAATAGCGCATTTCAAATAAATGATTTGATATATATTTTTTTTTTTTTCATTTTGTGAAGACTGATAAGGCATCCATGCTGGATGAGGCGATTGAATACTTAAAGCAGCTTCAGCTGCAAGTACAGGTCAGTTTTCTTCTTAACTCTATCCTTGTTTGAAATCTGTAGTTTAGCCTGAATTAAGAGCAACTTCTTCTGTATCTTGTGATTCTCTATCCATCGTTTTTTACACTGATGAGATCTTCAGCAAAAAGAATAGGGGACTATTGTCTCATATTGCAATTTATATTGTTACAAGGATTGAAGATCATTACCAAGATAGCAATGCTGGCAGCCAATGCTGAATGAAATCTGGTAGCTATTTCTTGATGTAAAATATTGATTCATAATGTTTCTAGATTAACCTCTCATGACTAATACTTGGGCAGACAACAATTGTGTGATGGTGTAACTGGCCGATGTAGTTATTAGGATTAAATCTTTTCATAGCTCGGATAATTTAGTTCTTCTCCTAAATTCTTGACAGTGAAGAGTAAAAACATATAATTAATTAGGTTATTCAGTGCTGAAGTTGATCATGGGTCTTCTGAAATTGACATGAGAAAAAAAGTGAACTTTATTTGTGAAGTAGAAAGCAATGACCTGTTATGTTGGTTGACTAATTTAAACTTGAAAAACAATAACGAAGTTATGTTGAGTATGTAAATCCGTTTTCACTTTTTAGTTTGGCATGGTGATGGCAATTGGTTAGATAGTATGAAAAAACACCGCATGATTCATGCCTAGGTCTTTCGCACTACCACATATTTGCAAAAATCGTTATGGCACATTCTGTAACTATATTTAGAGCTAATGCATCATATAACAATCAGTTTAAGCCTATGTGGCTGTATTTGTTTAAGCTATCATATAGCTATAGAATTATTATGGATGTATTTGTTTAGAACTAACGAGGAAGGACATATAACAATTAGGAAGAAAAAATTAAGAAAATGACGGTAAGTTATCATTACTTGAATATGTTCGTTAGACTATTCGGCATTTGTGGTTACATGCATGAAATATGTAAATTTACAAACTTTCTGGTATAGTATAATTTCTCCAAAACCTTCAAGCAATTATTATAAAGCTATCATAAGTCTTCTCATTATGTATCTCCTGCAATCTCTTGATGCACAATATGACCAATGCACTGAGTTTCAGCTTAGTTTTATTCCAGAATCAGCTGCCCACATGCAGCATCTGCTAATCTGGTTGCTTTTGCTTTTGTCATTCTTTTTGAGCTAGACAGGTTTCAATGGATTGGTTACCTTGAAATTACCTTTAAGGCAACCTTAAAGCCTCATAGGAAGTATGTTTATTGGAACTAGATAATAGGGATGTTTGAGGAGTGGACATCAGATTCCTTATCCATGCCCCAGATTCCTCATCCATGCCCCGACCTACTGAAAATTCCTCCCTATGGGCCTTCCTGAACTGTCTGCTTCCCAAATCTAAACTTGGTGAGGCTAGGGCAAAATCTTCATCTTCATAGATGTAAGGAGGGAACCTTTTGGGATATTATACTAAATTATCTATTAATTTTTCAAATTAATCAATTCTCTTATTAATTGCTTTACAACGTATTCTATATGTTGTGTTGATAACTCAATGAAACGACACCTATTTATCTGCATTTCATCAAAGATTAATGAAGTTGTTTAGGAAATTAGTTTACATTGCTATGCCTCAAATCAAGTGTTAAATCCCATGTAATTCAAGGACAACTTGTAACATTGTGTATTTAGTTGAGGCTGATGATAAAGTCAGGAGTTCATTTATGTTCCTTTTACAAATCTGACACAATAGGAAGGACTTAATCACAATCCATCCCTAATTTATAAGAGAGAGAGATAGAGAGAGAGAGAGCTAAGGACCATCTCTAATAGTATGAATTTAGACAAGCTGTTGTTGCTCCACTGAGCTCGCATAACCATGAAGATCGATGCTGGAAAATTTTCACATATTATCATGGTAACATAATTAAGTTAGTTTGCAATTGCAATTGGTTTTGCAGATGTTAACAATGAGAAATGGATTGAGTTTGCATCCAATGTGCTTACCAGGAGTTCTACAGCCTATGCAGCTGCCCATGACAGGAATGAGCTTTGATGAAGGAAATGGACTGTTAAACACCAATGCAGCAACAGGTGCTTTTGCTGAGAATGATGAAAAATCGGCACAGACTGTTCTCAGTCTTCCCAACCGGTGCACTGTAACAAATCAGCCAGTTGGTTTGCCTTCAGCAACAAACATCACCTCTTCAGAAGCCTCCTATGGTTTTGAGCCACTTTTTCAGGTTCACTATGAACCCTTCAATATCTCATCTTCAAAGGTAAATTCTTGTATCAAATTTGAACTATATTTCACCTAACCTTGTGTGAATTAATACCTCATATTTTCTTGCAAAATGAAGGAAATCTGCAGGGAAGGAACAACACAGGCACCATTAGATACTAATCAAACAGTGAAGACCACCTCATCTGGCGTGTCCTAGTTGAGATCTCATTCTTAGATGCATGATCAACAAAAACGTGTGACAAATCCTTTTTATTTTTTTATTTCTCTTTTTACCCCATATAAGGTGCAAATGATCCGTGAAAATGCTGACGTTTTACACATCAGGATATTTATGTTTTAACATTTCATACAATTGTCAGAACCAAAATGTTTGACATCCCTTAACTTCAATAGAATCGTTCTGCCCGAAATGGTATTTAAATCATTTAGAAAGTGAAGATGTTCCAACGGTTGAAACAACTGTTTGAAGCCTGTAGTCAGGAGATGAAAAATGAAGTGGAAGGGTGTGTTGTAATGCTTGCTATTTTGATATTCTTTTGAGTTTTGACAACATTGTGCCTTGTTTATTAATCTTTGCCTGTCAATAGCTGTGAATACAAACTATTACGAATGCCATAGGGGTGTCCTAGCTAGACTGGAAAGCATCCAGTGGAAGTCATTGTCTTTCGCCATTGGACATGTTGCAAGTTTACTTTTGTGTTTTTTATTGGATGAAGTACATAATGTAAGTAGCTTCATGTAACCTATTTAATTTCCTATCTCATTTTCCGGGCAATTGATTTTGAAATTTCTCCATGAAATTTCCAAGATCTTATCAATATTCTAGTAGATATCTTAATTCATTATCGCGTCAGTGGTGCACTCATGCTTTTCTTTTTCCTACATAAAATGCTGGCCGGGATTATATTTTCTTTCATTGGTTGTTGATAAATCCAATATGATCTTAGTTTTTCTTTTTCCTACACCTTGAACGGTGATCGGTCGGTTCTTCAATGTTGGACCAATGTACGACGTGTGGAGCGTTTCTGTTTCTGATAGGATTCCTGTTTCCTTTGTCTCAGATTGGATATTGACAAAACTTTACTGTCGATAAAGACAAAAAAAGCGTTCTCTTGTGACGTAAATTTAATTTCATATGATTGAAGGGGAAGACGAATTCATGCTGGAATGTTTAATGATTAATCGAACGAAAAACAGATAAAACAAAACAAGTGGACAGCGGCCAGAAGGAAGAAGAAAACTTGATAGAAAAAAATTGAAACAACAGTAACACAGGAAACTCTGATACAGAAATTTTTTGTTCATTCCTTTGAAACCCAAGGTTGTGTTACATTGCATTCTATTACAAGGTAAGTGGTTACATGTATACTAATGATTAATGGCCTCATATGGAAACAAAATCTCCAGCTTTGCTAGTTATTAAAACATTCTTTCGGAACTACTCAAAAAGTAAGGGAGGTTACGTTCGGATATACTTTTACAGAAACCATACACCAAAAAGAGAGAAAAAAAAAATTCTGAAAAAATGAAAATATAATTTAAATATAATCTCTTTTTTTTCATTTAACTAAAAACAAATCATTTATACCAGAAAATTTTGAAGCTTATATTCAACATAAATAAAAAAAAAAAATGAAAAAGTTGGGTTGTTGAGCCGCTGCGCTAGCCCGCAGTTTTGAAGGCAGGTTTCTTTTCATATGTGACACGAATATAGGGACAACTCCGTAACGGCCTTATGCTGCTCTGTCACAACTCACAACACACAAGGACTCATATGTTTTCATGTTGCCTAATTTTACGAACGACCACAGTTGCTTATTGTTCTTGATTTTACCTTCCAAATTCTCCTAAAACTATTTTACCTCCACCACTGTATTTTTAGGCGAATTTTACTGGAAGTTATAAGAGTTGAATTGAGTGTAAAAACACTTGTATTTTACCAAAATTAAAAAAGTAAAAAAAATTGAAAATCAAACTTTAGTATATAGATTAAAGGTGTAAGACAATTAAAGTGGACCCTTCTTTGGGAAATCTTATATACGACGCACCTAATTTCCGTTTTTTGTTTGGAAGGCAAATAACGGCATGGTCTCATGATTGTATTTTGGTCACTTCTTCCATTTGCACTCTAAAATGAAATCATCTCTACTTTAATTTGCCCATCTTAATTTCTCACTACTCAATCCATCATCTCCCCTAACAATACCCAACCCATGTCTGCAATCAGACCTTTTCATCAATGCCTCCATATATAGTATCATTGGTTCCTGAAGCGAAAACTAGTTATTGGGTTTTGAGGCAAACAATAATTCCAGCTCCAATAGCCTATCTCCTATGGCAGAGAAAGTTGTTGCACTGTTGGGTCAGAAGAGAAGTAGAAATAGAGATACTGTTAATCATGGCGGTGGAGGAGAATCAGAGCATGAGGTTCACATCTTGACTGAGAGAGAGAGGAGAAAAAAGATGAGGAACATGTTCACAAGTCTTCATTCTTTGCTTCCTCAACTCCCCAATAAGGTATTTCTTAAAATTATTGGTTTTAACTAATAATAAAATTAGCATATATGCATTAATGCTCCTATCCTATAATATGCAAACTTTTGGCTGCCTTAATTTAACCTCACGAAAGTTAATTTTTATAATTTCTTTAGGTTGTCATTCGATTAGTTATAGTTTCTTATATACGGTGAAATTTAATTTCAGAATCTCTTGTATGATCAAATTTGTCTACTTAAAATTTAATTTCTTTGATTTTAGATTCTCATATATGATCAAATTTGAGCCTACAATTGGTTTTTTTATAATTGCATATAGAGATCAAATTTCATTGAATATATGTATAGGAACTGTCAAATATTCTCCATCATTAGCATTCACATTGTGTACTAGATAGTGTCTATTGCCATTGCATTTCAAATTTAGCTTTTTGAATTTGATTAGTAGTTCAATAGTGGAGTAGCTATATGACAAATTAGGTTTAATCACCAATATTTCTGTTCACGTATCAATGAAGCATTCCGTGACAATTAAATCTATGTGATTCAGTGCATGAACTTGTAAACTTGCTGCACCTCATAATTATTTCTATTTTATTTCCAAAATGTATGGTTTTGAAAGGTTAGTTTTCATAATTGATTCTATTTTAATTCCAAACATATGAAATATTTTTTAAAAGCTTAGTTTCTTAGCTTTCTAAATTTTACACTACTTGCACAGGCAGACAAGTCCACCATTGTTGATGAAGCAGTAAAATACATAAAGAGCCTCCAAGAAACTCTCCAAACGCTAGAGAAACAAAGGCAAGAAAAGCTGCAAGGAGCAACAATTGTTGACAGCATTGGACAATCACTAATTACATCACCCACAGAAGCACTTTTTGAATCCAGGGAAGCATTCTTGGCTATTCAAGGACCATCAAAGGGCTATCCAATGCATAATTCTTTTCCGGTCACTCTTTCCCCAGCTTGCTATCAGACTTGGTTTTCTCCAAATGTTGTTATGAGCATGTGCGGCGATGATGCACAGATCAGTGTGTGTACACTGAAGAGACCTGGTTTACTTACCAGCATCTTCTACATACTAGAGAAACATAAGCTGGATGTTGTATCTGCTCATGTTTCCTCTGAGCAATTCCGTAGCATTTACATGATCCACGTTCATGTAAGTTCTTGTATTCCTCTAATTTGTTTGTCTACGAGCACATAGGGTTTCATGCATCATGGGTTTACGCTGTTTTCTTTTAACTTCTAAAAAAGCTGTAAAGAACCAAATTTCTTGATGTTTGGCTTAGAAAAAGACCTCGTTTAAATTCATTCAATAAGTTTAAAAAGCTGAGTTGAGTTTACTTACTAGACTCATTTAATAAACATTAATAAACAAGCTGAGCTCGAATCTATAAATGAGCCACATTTTTTTTTAACTATACACCTTAATTGAGCTAAACTAAGCTCAATTTTTAAATTGTGATCAAGTTCAAGCTAGTATGTTTTTAATGAGCGGTTTGACTTGTTTAGGGCACTAACTATTTAATTACTAGTCTCACAGTTAAATGCTCGTCTTGTAATATCTATGTTGGAGATTGGAAGTTCAAATTCCATAAGAATTTGTTTTTTTTTTTTTTTTTTTTTTTTTAAAAATATGTTCTGGAGATTGGAAGTTCAAATTCCATTAAGAATTTTTTTTTTTTTTTTTTTTTTTTTTTTAAAAAGACTCCTTGTTTATTTTTCAATGGAATTGCATCTAATTAAATATTAATGATGCCTTTATGTTCAGGCTGCAGGTGGCGCTTCTGGTCGGTACCCAGAGGCATTGTCAGTGGAAGATACATTCAAACTAGCAGCAGGAGAGATGAACTTATGGATCTTGTCATGTTGATTCCAGGCAGTCAACAGAAAGAATCAGTTCCTTTAGTCATTGTCTGCCATTTTTGTACAAGGGGAGCCTCGTAATTAGTTCGGAAAATATACATGTTATATAGAGTAACTTTGCTCTACCAGGAGACTCGGAAAGCTCTTGTGCATAAAGGACATGGTTTTTTTTATCATTGTTAAGCCTAGAACTTGCATGTAGAAAGATGCATATTTCTGCAACTGCAATGAAATTTCTGCGTGTGTGTATATAATATATTGGATATACCAAAAAGTTTATGGAAGTTCAGTTATTATCCATTTGTTTTGTGAAATTCTTTGCAAATTATAAATTTTCTTTTTTTTTTTTTTTTTTTAAATTTTTTTTTTTTTTTTTTTTTTTTTTTTTATAATTTAGGAATTAAAAGTTTATATTTTGCCTAAATACTTTTTTTTTTTTTTTTTTTAAATTTAGGATTAAGTTAATTTGCCTAAATAAGTCGATCCCAATTGAATCAAATCGATAATGAACCCTAAATATTTGATGTAGGTTCATCAAGGTTGGATATCCTTATCCTGTAATGATGAGAAGGTTTCTTGCTTTGAAACTGGACAAATATCTTGCAGCAAGACTATACCTTTGTTGGCCACGTGTTAAAGATGTTGCTTTTATTTTGAATGATCCCTCTGAAATTTTTTTGAGTGAAATAAATATAAATTAATACCACACCCATTTGAGAGGAGAGGGTATTGAAGTCATAGCAACAGCAACTACTAGCAAGTAGTGGCATTTGAATAATTTCATCTAAAATATTTATCAAGTGTTGCTTGAAATAATACTAAAATATTATCAAAATTATTTATAACTAATTACAAAATCATGATCATAAATATTTACAACTGGTAAAAATGATGACAGAGAATAAATTTTTTTTATTAGTTGTGGAAATGGTGGGACCAAAAGCATCTAATCCTGTAATCCAAAGCTCCAGACTCCACAGCATGGAGGCACTTGCCAATCCTGGGTCTTCATTTAGTGATCTTCACTTCTACTATTAGAAAGAACATTTCTATGGCTGACTCTGGCAATTCACGTAGTAATGGGGTAGGGTCATATAATATTGCAGGCCGTGGGCCCAATTTCATCCTGGCTTAAATATGGGCCCAAATAGACAACCAAGATTGATGTTGACTCTCCATTGTCATATATAGCAAATTTACTTCCTAACTTCGTATTCTTTTTATTTAATTTAAAAAAATGCCACGTTGAACTGAAAATCATGGAAGATGTGAATAAAGTGTTTGTCTGAATGATATTGTTTAATCTCTTGGTCGAGATTGCATTAAGCATCCAATTACTAAAACACCAAAAGGTCCACACCAAAAGTCAAATCCATCTTTCTCACAGATAATATTTTTTGGATAAATGACATCAGCAACTTTACATACACTAAAATATTAATATAACAAAGCAATTAATAATTTTTTATACATAATAAAATTATAACGAAACAATTATATATATAATGTATCTGTTCTTCACACTTATATAGAAAATAAGAGATAAAAAATTTCACTGTCCTCTCCATAATAAAAGTTTTCACCGCCACTGCGAGCCACGACGGAGTTACGTTATCATTGTGAAATAGCTGAAAAAGTATCCAAAATCAACAGAAAATTTCCAAAATTCCATCTCCCCCACCAAACCCAATACGGAGAGATAAGTAAATGGAAAGTGGATTACACTATTAATTTAGTATCTACTTTAGATAGCACCAAATATTATTCAATATATAAACATAGATTAGCCTTCAATTACAACATCACTAGAACAATTGGTGATTCCTTATTTCTGGAAGTCCCATCAATGCCAGCTGCTAGTGCTTACCCTTCTCTATCTCAAACCCCACTCACTCTGTTCACTACTCTATTACTCTCCCCATTTTCAACCGCTCCATTTTCATAAAATTTTTATTACCATTCTACCACTGCTGCGCATGCTCTATTTCTCTTTCTTCTTCTTCTTCTTTCTTATCTCCTCTGTTTATGCGAGAAAGTTGGAAGCTTTTTCCTTTTGTATAGCGTAAAAAACAAATAGGTGGAAGTGGAAGAAGAAGAAAAAGAAGGAAGAAGAGAAACAAATGTCTAATTATTCTTTCTTAAACGATCAGCTGTCCAAGAGAACCTCAATCTTTGGTTTACGTTTATGGGTTGTTCTTGGTATCTGTGTAGGGGCTGCCATAGTTCTTGTTCTTTTCCTTATCTCTCTCTGGTTCACTTCTAAGCGCAACAAAACTAACAACAATTCTGCACGCTCTAAATTCAAGTCATCTCTTAATAATCCCACAATCCCCAGTGTCTCGAAGGAAATTCAGGAGATCCGTATAGACCCATCACACCCTACACCAGACCCGAAACCGCTGAGCCCGGACCCAGTACCCGAATCGGAACCAGTTCTGCTTTTGCAACATGAAGGAGACACTAGTCCTGTTGGTGGGCGAAACAGGATTCACATTGAGATTGGGAAGGACCATAGAATATCATATCCGGAGCGGGCTGGAGGGTCGGGTCACGGGAGTGGAGAGTCGCGGTCCGGTCCTCGTTCCGGTGATCAGGCTTGCACGGCGATTTCGGTGCCAGAGGTTTCACATTTAGGGTGGGGTCACTGGTACAATCTTAGGGAGCTTGAGGTCTCTACTAATGGCTTCGCTGATGAGAATGTGATTGGGGAAGGTGGGTATGGAATTGTTTACCGTGGTATTTTGGAGGATAATACCAAAGTTGCTGTAAAAAATTTGCTTAACAACAGGTATTGTATCATTATTAAATGCTAGCATTAATTTGGGTTTGCCCTGCCTCAGTAATTTGAGGTCACGGTTTGTCATTTTGTTTAGGAATCCAGCTGGGGATGTTAATGACTGCCTGTACTTCTTTCGTTTATGTTAGTTTCACGATTTTACACTCGTGCCTTATACTTTCTGGTGGTGCATGCAGTTTTGTGCTTTCCAGTTAATAGGACAGAGAGGAGAGTGAAAGGCCTGGTTTAGGTTTAAAAGTTTGTTTCTTTTTTCTACTTTTTTTTCAGGGGACAGGCTGAGAAGGAGTTTAAAGTAGAAGTTGAAGCAATTGGACGCGTACGACACAAGAATTTGGTGCGGTTGCTTGGCTATTGTGCTGAGGGAGCTCATAGGTACTTACATTTTCTGCTTTAGATTTCTGATCTTGATTTGCAGTTTTGCAAGTTAGAATTCTTCCCCCTTCATTCTTTGAATTTATTGTCCTTGAAAAGAATTTTGTCATCATTCTTTAATTTCAAAATCCTTGAAATAATTGTATTTCCGGGTTTTTTATTTTGTTTCTGGCATTGCTTCACTAACGACATTTCGTGGCTTGTATAGGATGCTTGTTTACGAGTATGTTGACAATGGAAACTTAGAACAGTGGCTTCATGGAGATGTTGGGCCTTGCAGCCCACTTACGTGGGAGATTCGCATGAATATAGCTCATAGGTACTTACATTTTCTGCTTTAGATTTCTGATCTTGATTTGCAGTTTTGCAAGTTAGAATTCTTCCCCCTTCATTCTTTGAATTTATTGTCCTTGAAAAGAATTTTGTCATCATTCTTTAATTTCAAAATCCTTGAAATAATTGTATTTCCGGGTTTTTTATTTTGTTTCTGGCATTGCTTCACTAACGACATTTCGTGGCTTGTATAGGATGCTTGTTTACGAGTATGTTGACAATGGAAACTTAGAACAGTGGCTTCATGGAGATGTTGGGCCTTGCAGCCCACTTACGTGGGAGATTCGCATGAATATAGTATTGGGAACAGCAAAAGGGTACTGATTTACATTGAGCATGGTTAAGAATAAGAGCTTCAGATGATTTCACCTTTTCTGATTGTTTGTTATTTGTGATTAAAATATAGGCTGACATACTTGCATGAAGGGCTTGAGCCGAAGGTTGTTCATCGTGATATTAAATCAAGCAACATTTTACTGGATAAGCAGTGGAATGCTAAAGTGTCTGATTTTGGCCTTGCAAAACTCTTAGGCTCAGAGAGAAGTTACGTGACAACTCGTGTGATGGGGACATTCGGGTGTGTCATCAATTGAATTTTTGTAGTTGCCCTTTTAATTCGATATATATACTTTCTGGTCCAGCAAATTAGAACGAAAATTAAGTTCATGTTTGACAGATATGTGGCTCCAGAATATGCCAGCACTGGCATGTTGAATGAAAGAAGTGATGTATACAGCTTTGGGATTCTTCTTATGGAAATCATTTCCGGAAGAAACCCAGTTGATTATAGTCGCCCTCCTGGAGAGGTTTGTTTCAGCAAATCGAATTAATGATATTTTCCAATCAGTTCAATATAAATTTCTGAAAGTTTTTCCTCTTGATATTTATTTGTGAATCTAACTTCAGGTGAACCTAGTTGAATGGCTTAAAACAATGGTTACAAATCGGAATGCTGAAGGAGTTTTAGATCCTAGGTTGCAAGAGAAGCCTTCTCCAAGAGCGCTGAAGCGTGCCCTTTTAGTAGCTTTACGCTGTGTGGACCCAAATGCACAGAAGAGGCCAAAGATGGGGCATGTAATTCATATGCTTGAAGCTGATGAGTTCCCTTTCAGAGATGTAAGTTCACATTGGTGTTAAGCAACTAGTCATTTTCATTTGTAGGGTTGTATTTTCTAAACTTTAAAGCATTTATGCCTTATGGTAATTCCCTTTCTGGATTTCCACTCCTCATTCATGTTTGTCTTTCTGCTCTTAATTTCAGGACCGTAGAACTGGAAGGGAACATGGGCGTCCTCAACGTGATGGTGTGAAACCAGAGAAGCGTGTTATTGAATCAGGCGACAGTAGTGGTTATGAAAGTAGTGCCCAGACCAATAGATCATTGTGGAGTAAACAGGAGCCTGAAGAACAGTAAGTAGCCTTGCCAAACTCATGTACGAGATGACACTATTCACTTTGTTTTATTCATATTCTTCCCATTCAGAGTTGGCATTTACAGATGTCCCACTCTACGTGTATATGCAATGCACGATCCGTGTTGTTATGAGTTTGCATTATTTGTAGATTACACATCGTCTGCCAATTGGGCATATAATTAATGTCTGAAGTACTGCTCTTCCCCTGATGGATCATCTTAATGGCATAGTTTCAGCTAATGACATATATGAAAACCTGAATTTTATTTGCTTGTGCCTGGCGCTGTATATCATTGCTATGTGATTCGTTGTAAACTATGTGATAAATTAACTCGTGAAGCTAATTTTGAAAAGCTATATGAAGCTATGTGATTCATCCCCAACAATTGTAGGACCTGAATAGTTCATTTAAATTACAAAATTGTTGCTTCCTCCATTGTAATAAGAGAAGTTGATTTTCAGTGTATGAAGCTTGCGCCAATTGGGCCATGATTTTACGATTTGATTATCATCTGTTGTTTCTAGTGCTTCATCAATTGAAGAGTTGGTAAAACCTTGTAAGATTATTAAAGTTTGAACCTTTATGCTGTAGATATGTTTGATATTGAGCAACTCAGCTTATCTGTATGCTTAAGATTTTTCTTTTCAAATTTTCAGTTAGGATAGGGTGTTTAGGTGGGGGGGAGTGTTTGGTTGGAGGTTAGGGTACACCGTACACAGCATCTTTAAAGTGTGCATGGAACCTTATGTTTGTTTGTGGTCTGCAAGATCTAACAACATATTGTGGTTGCACCGACAGAACTTGTTGCAGAGATTTGCCAGTCAAATGAAATGACCAAAAAGAAGGGCAGGTACAATCACTTTTAGTTTCATAAAGGCAACTCAGTCGGTCTAAACTTCAAATTCAAATGTTTGAACGTAAATTACCATCCAGAAGTATGATTAAGACAAGCTTTTCTAAGTTACATTGCTAATGAAAATAAGCACTTAGGTCCTACAAATTCACATGCTTGCATAATCCCTATTGCATTCCCCCATAAGCTTTTAAGATTATGGGGCCCTAACTGTGACAAGAGAAACCCTTCACAGCTGGATTAGAAATCAACAAGGGACCCCTCTAGCTCTAGCATACCCGCTTTTCTGATTCTTGGTCTTAATTGAAAAGGGGAGTTTGAGATTACTTGTCTTCTCTTTCTATATTTAGCTTTTATTCTGCTTTTAGACCCATAAGATCGTTCTTCATCCACTTTTGGTGGTCTTAAGCTCTGTACTTGTCGCAAATCAACATTGTGATCTCTGTGTGTTTAGTGGCCTAAATCCATGAAAATGAAAACATTTTGGCCTGCCAGAGGCTCAATGTACAGAAGTTCAATTATTTTCTTTTTAAAAAAATTCATTGATTTTTCCTTTTCTCTACTTTTTCTTAGCAACCAAACAAAGGAGTGAAAGGGGTATAGAGATTGAGTTTGAACTCTAAATTTCTCAACCCGCAGAAAGATTATTCCTTTTGAAACCGTAAAACAGCATAATAAGTTATCGTCAGGGATAATTATAAATTTCGATAAAGTATATTTAATTCAAAAGAAATTGTCTATTCAAATACATGATTGATGACAAGTCGTGTTTGTCATTCAACAGCAACGGTAAGGATAGACCATAGACGACACGAAGGATAAACACTATTGACTAAACGACCAACCGTTATGAGTTATTTTTTTGATATAGTTAATAAAAAGACAAAAGGACATACAACTGAACTTACAAGTGAACAGCTACACCTAATTTTGCCGTTTCGCAAGTTCATATTGGACATCCGGTAAGAAATTACCGACCCTTTAGAAACTTCTGCGTTAAAGTGGACGACAAGTCATCACAGGAGCGAAATGGCTAAATTTAAACGCATGATTTACCGTGCCGCGGGTATATTGTCGTGTCGTTCCATGAATCCAAATAACACTTGTAAGTAAACGATGGCTGTTACAAAGATTAAATAACTAAAATGATGACGTTGAGCGAGTAACAGCCATCTCGCTCACCTGCCGTCGAACGACAGCGTGCAAAAACCACACCCCCGCGCAGGAGAAGTGTTGTTATTGGACAAACCATCGTAGGGTGATATTACTCTTCCAGCGGTTTTTCTCGGTAACCAAACGGACAGACGTATAGAGAGGGTCTACGGGGTGAGGTGTGTGCGAGTGGAAGAGCCACGGCGGAGAATCTCGGCGAGCGGCAGGACGGCAGCTCCGGTTGTGGGAACCTCAACGGCGATATTTTTGTTGCTTCAATTTCAATTGGGAATGGCGGCAACTCGATAGTGCAATTTTGCTCATTTGCCTCTTACCATTAGATTTTTTCTCAAAGTTGATTTCTTTCTTCTATTCAATTTATCGTCGATCCTCACATGGGCTGGGAATTGAGGAGTCGACCTATGGTGGTGATGCGCCCTGCTATAGCATTCTCCTGATGGAAATGTTGACGGGGAAAAGACCTGCTAACGGAATGTTTGGACTTTGGACAACTAACAACGAACTTAAATTTTTGGAGACTAGCCATTTGTAACCTCTAAGCTTCAATTGCTAGAAATAATTCATTTTCTTTCCCCTGCTTTACTTTGGTTTAGTTGAAGCATCATTAACCTGCAAAAGGTCTTCAATTATTGTGGCATAGTAACTGCTTTTGCTTTAAATTTATCTTGTAATGTGCATATATTGGTTTGTTGCTTTATGAGTAGAATCAAATTGACAATTCTGTGCTTTATTTTTCACATAAATCTCGTATCAATTAGCAGAAAAAATACTGCAGGAATGAGAGGGCAGCTAGAGCTTGATAGCTACTACAGGACTGGAAACAACATGGTTGTGCTGATCAATCCATTTGAGATGACCATAAAGCACTGTTGGAGCTTCTTTATCTATTTCTACACTTACAGAAAAATTTTGTTTCTGATATTTCCTAGTGAAAGACAAGGCACTAGGCTCTATTCTGATTCTCATTCCTGGAGGGGTGTGTAGAGTTGCCTTGTAAGTCGCAGTATCCCCCCCAACATTTGTGACAGCCCTGCTAAATTTCTTCAATGTTGAAGAGTTCCTTTCGTTGTTAAATATGGCAATAAAGGATGGGTAATTTAGGTTGCTTGGTTCTTTGCTGCAATTCCATTGACTTTGTCTTGTAATGGCACTCATTTGCTTTCTAGTGTATCCAAGGCTGCATAGGAAGTCAATGTAATCTTGAAAACTCATGTCATAGACGAGCCCAGGATCCATGGCTTTGTTTGGGTTGATATGCCCAGCTCCAAAATCTAAAGGTGTTGCTGGAAGACCTGTCCACTGATCTTTCAAAATGGCACCAGTGTTGTCTGTGTTATATGCTGTGGTCATAATAGCTGATCGGATGGCTGCTGGGCACCATTCAGGATGGATATTTTTTAGTAAAGCTGCCACTCCAGCAACATGAGGTGCTGCCATTGATGTGCCTGAAAGTAGTGCGTAATCTGTCGCAAGATTGTATCTTCCCAATTCAATGTATGGCTTGTTTGGAGCTATTGCTGCTAGCACATCCTCCCCTGGAGCCAGAATATCTGGTTTTAGAACATTTGGACTAATTGGGTCAGGACCTCTGGAAGAGAAATAGGCCACTTGGGGTGCTGGTTTGGTACCCAAATTGGTGGACATGAACATCATGTTTTTTACCTTTGTTTTAGTCACCTCAGTGACATACTTTTTAACCAAATTCCCAGATGCAGTTGGTAGAACCATGCAGGGAATAGTGTAGTCTTCTGGACCCAAAAGTGGCATATCTGTCATGAATATTCCAGCATATGCACCTACTCGTTCAAGCTCCTCCTTTTGTCTCACAACGTCAATTTTAGTAGTATTATCACAGAGGACTATCTTTTTATGAACCTCACTTTGATTCAAAGAACCATAGTAGCAGATGGCTTTGTTTTCATTATCTTTGCCATAGTACAGAGAACGATCAGTAATGTAAATGCTCTCTGGGAAGTATGATGTTCCCTCCACTGTCAATCCATTTTCCAGGGTCATAGTAGCAGTGAAACTTCGATCAAGGGTACCAGCTCCTACTGTTGTGATCCAAGGAGCTCCATTATGTGTTGTATTATGACCTCCATCATTACCAGTTGCACATACAACAAAAATTCCTTTCTCGGTTGCTGAGAGAGAAGCTATGGCAATGACATCATTGAAGTAAGGTTTCTGATCAAAGCCGAGAGACAGTGACATGATGTCAACCCCATCAGCAATGGCTTGATCCATGCCTGCAAGCACATCGCTTGCTGCACTCTCTTGCGAATCTGTTGCAAAGAGGACTTTGTACATTGCAACATGTGCTCGTGGTGCTACACCTCTGGCTGTGCCTCTTGCATATCCAAAATGGCTTACACCAGGCACATAGTTACCTGCAGCAGTTGATGATGTGTGGGTTCCATGCCCAAAAAAGTCTCTTGCTGAATCATAGTCAAACTCTGTGGAAATTTTTCTGCCTGCAGCTGCAAGTCCTTTGCTGAAAGATCGAGCTCCAATAAGCTTCCTATTGCAGCTAGATGGGCTAAAGGCTGTGCCATTCTCACACTGGCCTTTCCATCTCTGTGGCACTGGTGGCATCCCCTTGTCATTGAAACTTTCACTCTCTGGCCAAATTCCTGTATCTAGTATTCCTATGATCACACCTTCACCATATGATGCAGCAGGCCATAACCCATGCTTGTGTTTTAGTCCAAGAAACTTGGGGCTGTATGTGGAGAATAGCTTGCCAAAGGACTCCTGATATGATGCAAGATGAGCTGGAGATTTCTCAAGTTCAGATATTTGAGATCGTGTAAGCCTTGCACTGAAGCCATGCATGACATGGTTGTACGAGTACAAAAACCGTTCTTTCTTGTCAACAGGATTAGATAATGACTTCAGAATTTGGCGATGCCATGATTCATCGGTTAAGAAGGCTGCAGGCTTGTGGGAATGGTCCATGTGAATGATATAGGTTTCGAGCTCTTCACTTCCTGAGAAAGCATTGCTACTTCTCAGTAGCAACAACAGTAGCCAAGGCAACACATGGTGCACAATTAAATTGGAAAAACGCATACTTTTGGCCATGGCTGACGAGAGATGATGGGCACAATATGTAACACATATATACTTTGGCTTTTTAGAAGCAAATTACGATATGTGGAACGTAAATTTCAAGGTTTAATGTCCTGTGCAAGTTAATTTTTCCGCTAAGTTTTACAGTGTTGCCGGTTTAAATTCACCAAAATATTCATACTTCTTTTGATTGCCTCCCAGAATACGCCAGCTTTGCAAATAGGTATTATCGTTGTGGGAAAAAAAACAGGAAGAAGCTTGCTGCCGAGTCCCTATCACTAACCTTTTTATTCTTCTTTTTGTTTGTTCCCTTTGTCCTCTGTTTTTCCTTTCTATTTCTTTTCCCTGACCTTGTTGGCCAATGATTTCATCTGTAAAATCATAAACAGGACTTGTGCCCAACTGAAACGTGGCTGATACTTGCTTTGATACTGTAACACTTCTGGGGGAAAGGCCTCAGTTCTGAACTAGCTTGTCAAAAAAATTGCGAAAATGCAATGTGCTGTTTTTTCAATTATTCTATTTACTATACCGATCCAAAAAAAAAATAACTCATATATTATTATCATGTAGCTTGCAAATTATTGATTCAAGGGGTTAATGTGCAGTAACCAAAATAAACATGGACCGAAGTCACTGTTTAAGGTCACTTAAGAGACTCTTGGTATATACCCTTTTCATTTTCCACAGGGAATGAGCTTCTCTCTTGCATTGGAGCTGAATCGCTAGTTAATTTAGAGGCTGATTATAGTTGGCAGCTAAGGGTAAGCCAGAATTTGAATATTTAGTTGTCAGCTAAATGGATTTCCTGGAGCATGCGTGCTTACTGGCAATTTCCTTTATTTGTTTGTTTGTTTGTTCTGGCCAGACGCTTCAATTTGTTTGTTTGTTTCTATTTCAGAGTAAAAGAGAATTGGGTACTCTATCCTTTAACAATATATATGTACATATACAGTAATACCCTAATTTATTTTTAGTGCAATAAGCTCCCATAATTAAAATTCTTACATATAGTAATCATCAAATAAGAACTAAATATTACTGTAGTTCCATCAAATAATTAAGAAGAGTTGGAGAGGATGGCAAATAAGCCATTTTTCTGTTCTGTCTGTTTCCATCACTGTTAATTCCTCAAATTGTTATGGTTTTCGATTCCATTTTTGTTGGTTTATTGTGTAACTTACGAAACAAATTGTCATGAATATGATTGTCAATTAATTGCAAAATCCAGCGAGGAAAGCACAAGGAGCTTATCCACAGCAAACATCTTTTTTCTTCATTTGTTTATCTTTCAACTGGAAGGGCTGGCATAGTAGGCCTTTTTAGTTTAAACATCTGTGCTTCTTTTAATTGCTTTGTCTAATCTTATCACTTATTCTTTACGTGCCCTGCTTTCTTATGTCTCTTATTACAAGTTACATCTTGAGGGCCCAAAGCAAGCTGTGTTTGTCATCTGCTAATATACGCATGATTTTGAGTAGCTGCTGACATATATCAGTCCAATTTCATGGTCAGCATTGGACTTTGTCAACATTACTTTGTCAACCTTTTATCTTTCCTCAACATAAATATCCAAGAAAAGGTCCTCATAATCCAAAATATGTAACTGTACATGTTGGTGATCCATGTCTGCTTCCGGCTGTACCCTTTGCTATCTGCCTTGTGATACTGATCCAAGTCTATCAGATAAAACTACATTATTTAAAATGACCCGAGTGCGTGTTTATTTGTATTCAGTTTTCATGGCTGAAGGTGTTCACTTTGCAAGAAGTTTATACAGTGTAAGCATGTTGTGAAGTATTTTGCACAGACCAATTAATCATAAAATTTGCAGCTACTATACGTCATTCTTAAACAATACTATTTTGTTACTAGTACTAGGTATCTTGAATTTGTGGGCCACTGATGACATCGCCTAAAGTTTGAAATTCACAGCTAGCTTTTGTTTGTATATAGCTATTAAACACTGATCATGTGATGAAAGCGGTCGCAAGGTCAAGCTTATCCATGCATGAAAGCAACGTTAACCTTGTCATAATCAAAGTTTCTTTTCTTTTTCAGAGCTAACTGTTTGTTCTTATTATATATCAAGCATGTGGCAGTTGAATAATAACAAAGGGCCAATTTATACAGCTAGTAGTTGTTGCTTCTTTATGTTTTCTTTTCTTCAGTTGCTTTCGCTTTGTTTATATATAATAAAAGCAGATGAAGGAACTTACTCAAGCACAGAGTAAACCATTCCTTTTCTGAAGAAATATGATAAAATTTAATGAAATTCCCTCTTCAATTCTAATCTTCTTTGTGTATCTTTGTCTCTTCACTAAACATGGTGCCTCAAGTTCAGTGGATAGGTTTACATACATTGTCCACATGGACAAGTCTTTGATGCCCAGAACCTTCAATGACCATAAAGATTGGTACTTTTCCCTCTTCAATTCTAATCTTCTTTGGTGTATCTTTGTCTCTTCACTAAACATGGTGCCTTCAAGTTCAGTTGATAGGTTTACATACATTTGGTCCACATGGACAGTCCTTTTGATGGCCAGAACCTTCAAATGACCATAAAGATTGGTACTTTTCAATCAACTAATTCCCTTAAATTTAACAAAATCCACCTCAATACAGAGACAGACCACCGTTCTTCACCAGTCCCCATTCATTTGTTTTATCTTTATGAAAGAATGTTGCTCATGGTTTGCCTGCAGTTTTATCTCCCAAGTGAGCTCGAACTCTTAGAAACTTCCTACAGGGGTTTTGTTCTCTGGCATATAGAGACAGAATGGCAACAATTGAACAACCACCCACTTTTGAATTCCTTTCTCTCAATTCTAACCACTGGTCCTATTGGCCTGCCTTCAATTTTTTGGCGAAGATGTTATAATTGGAGTCAATCGATAACTGGGGTTTGGCGGCCAGAACGCCTTAGTTATAAAAGATGATGGTAATGACCCTGTAACCATCAAGATGGAAGGGAATTGTGAGGAAGGGAAGAATTCACTTCTTCTATGTGTAATTCAAAGCTAATTGGGGCTAGATTAATTTAATAAAGGTGTTAAAGCTGCAGCTTCCCTTGGATAAAATTATAATGAGCTAGATATTTCAATAAAGGTGTTAAAGCTGCAGCTCCTGGGATTAAAATTATAATGAATTCTCCTAGGGATACTAGAGGCCATGGTACTCACACTTCCTCAACTGCTGCTGGTAATTATGTTAAAGATGCCACATTCTTTGGCTATGCTACTGGTACAGCTAGAGGTATGGCCCCGCGAGCTAGAGTAGCTATGTACAAGGTCTTATGGGAAGAAGGCCGCTACGCCTCTGATGTCCTTGCTGGCATGGATCAAGCAATCGCTGATGGCGTTGACGTGATTTCTATCTCGTCAGGCTTTGATGAAGTGCCTTTGTATGAGGATCCTATAGCAATAGCTTCATTTGCTGCAATGGAAAAAGGTGTGGTGGTATCAGCTTCTGCAGGAAATGAAGGGCCACCTCTAGGAAATCTGCATAATGGGATTCCATGGGTCTTGACTGTTACTGCTGGTACTATTGATCGTTCTTTTGCTGGAACATTAACACTGGGTAATGGCCAAAAAATCACTGGATGGACCATGTTCCCAGCTAATGCCTTCATACAAAATCAGCCACTACTGTACAACAAGACTTTTTCAGCATGCAACTCAACTAAATTGTTATCTCAGGCCCCGTATGCGATAATCTTGTGCGACGATACTGGGTTTGTCTTTAATCAAATAAATACTATTGCAGCCTTGTCAAATGTGCCTGGTGCTATTTTCATTTCAAACCATACTGTGTTATTCGAGTTAGGGGGTTTTTCTTGTCCCGGAGTTGTGATTAATCCTAATGATGCAATATCTGTTATGAAATATGTTACAACTGATAAGGATCCTTCCGCTAGCATGAAATTCCAGCAAACCATTGTAGGCACAAAGCCTGCTCCAGCTGCAGCCTATTATACTTCAAGAGGTCCTTCGCGGAGCTATCCTGGAATTCTAAAGCCAGATGTCATGGCGCCGGGTTCATTAGTTTTAGCCTCTTGGATTCCAAATGACAATTCTGCAAGAATTGGACTGAATATTCCCTTGTCGAGCAATTTCAATATGGTATCTGGTACTTCAATGGCTTGCCCTCATGTTTCTGGTGTTGCTGCACTCCTAAAAGGTGCACATCCAGAATGGAGCCCAGCGGCTATCCGATCTGCCATAGTTACCACTGCAAACCCATTAGATAATACTCTGAATCCAATCAGGGACAACGGTGAAAAGTTTGCATATGCATCTCCTTTAGCCATGGGAGCTGGCCAAATTGATCCTCACAGAGCATTGGACCCTGGTTTAATTTATGATGCCACCCCACACGATTATGTGAATATCCTATGCTCTATGAATTACACTAAAAAACAAATTTTGACCATCACAAGATCAAAGAGATACACTTGTTCAAACCCTTCCCCTGATCTCAACTACCCATCATTCATTGCTTTGTATGATAATAAAACAGCAGCAGTAGCAGTCCAAAGATTTCGAAGGACTTTAACTAATGTGGGAGATGGTGCTGCGACGTATAAAGCTAAGATAGTTGTAACGAAAGGTTCAAAAGTTACTGTTTCGCCTGATTCTTTGGTTTTCGGGAAGAAATATGATAAGCAGACCTATACTCTTACAATAAAGTACAGCAAAGACAAAGGAGGGAGAGTTTCATTTGGTTCCATTGTTTGGATTGAGCAGAATGGGGTACACACTGTCAGGAGTCCTATCGCAGTCTCTCCTGCTGTGAAGTTGTGGTAATATGAAAGGAAAAAAATTATCTAATTATTATAATCAAATAATTTCAGTCTGCCTAAATGCCATTGCAGAACCTAATAATAAATATACTTTATTATTTTCAAAATCTTCTTATAATTTATTCCTTATAATTAATTTTTCTTACAGAACACATTAAATTAACCTATATATATATATATATATATATTTAATTTTTCTTAGCTTAGACAATTAAATTAACCTATATATAATATAATATATATATATAACCTTAAATTACATTAAACATAAACATTCTCATAGTTGATTATGTACTCCCTAAAATGATTAAATAGAAATACCATATTTGTTTCTCGACCAAACTGGCATGAACTTATTAGTGCAATGCCTTCTACGAGTCAGCCATTTGCCTGTAACAATTGAAAATAAAAAAAAAAAAAAAAAAAATTTAAAAAATAAAATTCCCAAAATTTAATATAATAAAAAAATTTTCTGTTTCTGTTTTTAAAAAGTGGAAAATGGTAAGATCATTCAAATAAAAAAAATAAATAAAGAGAGAAAAGTGAGATTAGGTAAAAGCGAAAGAGAGAAAAATTTCACAAATATGGTGATAATATTTCAAACTACTTTTGATAGAAAAGGGGTTTTTTTTTAATTTAAAAAAAAAAAAAAAAAGAGAAGCAAAAAAAAAAAAAAAAAAAAAAAAAAAAGCAATTCATTGATAACCAACATAATACAAGTACATCAAAATATAATAAAAATCTTTTGTTCGGACAAAATAAATTATTCTTTCAGTAGAAATTGATTTTTTTCTAAAAAAAAATTGAGATCAGGCAACACAAATAAGTTTAAAACAATTTAAATTGTTATTATTAGCCTTAATATAATTTGAGCTTTTGGCATTTTTCAACATAATACCTACTATTGATATAATCATTTAATAATTTCTTTTAATGCTTCTTTTGATTAATGTTTATTTTTATTTTATTTTATTTATTTAATTAAGATGGATCTCATGAAAATCATCGAGATTGTACATATCAAGCCCTACCATTTTCTTAGTATAATTCTCCAGCTTTGCATATTTTCTCTGCTTATTGATTTAGTAATATGCTTATGCCAATATAAACAAAAAACAAACAAATTTAAGCATTTCAGACAGCCAGCCTATAAATTTATGATGAAAATCTGAAATGAAATTTAGCCTTTACATTTAGAATCTATGCCCTGTAATTTTAAAGCATATACCTTAATGGAAATGATACTAAATACAATCCTCCCTCATCCCTAATAGGTAAAGCTTCAAGAACCAGCTGTAAAAGAAGAGAGTGGGTTAAATGGAAAACTTACAGACAATGCCTGCTGATTTTTCTGATAAATGGAAATGAAGCTCATGTTTTTTCTGGAAAATTTCCTTGCAATAATGAAATAGGGACAATGGTAAGACCTGGTAAAAAATTCTCCTGTTCTCTAATTGTCCTGGACAGGTTGGAGGAGATATCAAGTCTGTGACCAAGGTTCTAAAACGATATAAATAATTATATACTTTCAATTCATTATCAATTAGTTTACACAAAAAGGAGATAAGAAGTAAGTATCCAAAGAAGAGAATATCCCCGTTTCACATAACTTTGATAATGCCAACATTGGAATTAAACAATGCCGGCCTTTGATTTGTTGGCTTTTTTTTTTAAAAAAAAAAAAAAAAAATTTAAAAAAAATTTTTTTTTTTAAAAAAAAAAAAAAAAAAGAATAATAATAATTTTAAGTTCTATATATAATTGGATGAAGAACCAATACAAAAAGCAAAAGCAAAGTTTTTAAAGATAGAGAGAAAAAAAAATGAAAATGGTTGCTCTTTTCTTGTTCTTCCTTGCAAGGCCCTTTTCCTTTACGACCTCAACCTCAGTAGACAAGGCAACATATATTGTCCACATGGACAAGTCTCTGATGCCCAAAAGCTTCACCAGCCAACAAGATTGGTATTCCTCAACCATTGATTCCCTTAAAACCACAAAATACTTCTCCTCAGACAATGATCATAATCACTCACCATGGCTTATTTACTCTTATGACAATGTTGCTCATGGTTTTAGTGCAATTTTATCCCCTGATGAGCTTGACACTCTTAAAAAATCCACAGGTTTTGTCTCCGCTTATAGAGACAGAACGGCAACAATTGACACTACCCATACTTTTGAATTCCTTTCCCTCAATTCTACAACTGGTCTATGGCCTGCTTCCAATTTTGGTGAAGATGTTATAGTTTGAGTCATTGATACTGGGGTTTGGCCTGAAAGTCTGAGTTACAATGATGACGGAATGAGTCCTGTACCATCAAGATGGAAGGGAATTTGTGAGGAAGGAGAAGAATTTAATTCTTCTATGTGTAATTTAAAGCTAATTGGAGCTAGATACTTCAACAAAGGTGTTATGGCTGCAAATCCTGGGATTAAAGTTAGAATGAATTCTCCTAGGGATATTGAAGGCCATGGTACTCACACTTCTTCAACTGCTGCTGGTAATTATGTTAAAGATGCTACATTCTTTGGCTATGCTACTGGTACAGCTAGAGGTATGGCCCCGCGAGCTAGAGTAGCTATATACAAGGTCATATGGGAAGAAGGCCGCTACGCCTCTGATGTTCTTGCTGGCATGGATCAAGCAATAGCGGATGGCGTTGACGTGATTTCTATCTCATTAGGCTTTGATGAAGTGCCTTTGCATGAAGATCCTGTAGCAATAGCTTCATTTGCTGCAATGGAAAAGGGCTGGCATAGTAGGCCTTTTTAGTTTAAACATCTGTGCTTCTTTTAATTGCTTTGTCTAATCTTATCACTTATTCTTTACGTGCCCTGCTTTCTTATGTCTCTTATTACAAGTTACATCTTGAGGGCCCAAAGCAAGCTGTGTTGTCATCTGCTAATATACGCATGATTTTGAGTGGCTGCTGACATATATCAGTCCAATTTCATGGTCAGCATTGGACTTTGTCAACCTTTTATCTTTCCTCACCATAAATATCCAAGAAAAGGTCCTCTCAATCCAAAATATGTAACTGTACATGTTGGTGATCCATGTCTGCTTCCGGCTGTACCCTTTGGTATCTGCCTTGTGATACTGATCCAAGTCTATCAGATAAAACTACATTATTTAAAATGACCCAAGTGCGTGTTTATTTGTTTTCAGTTTTCATGGCTGAAGGTGTTCCCTTTGCAAGAAGTTTATACAGTGTAAGCATGTTGTGAAGTATTTTGCACAGACCAATTAATCATAAAATTTGCAGCTACTATTCGTCATTCTTAAACAATACTATTTCGTTACTAGAACTAGGTATCTTGAATTTGAGGGCCACTGATGACATTGCCTAAAGTTTGAAATTCACAGCTAGCTTTTGTTTGTATATAGCTATTAAACACTGATCATGTGATGAAAGAGGTCGCAAGGTTAAGCTTATCCATGCATGAAAGCAACGTTAAAGGGCCAAAATTCTTTTCTTTTTCAGAGCTAACTGTTTGTTCTTATTATATTCAAGCAAGTGGCAGATGAATAATAATAAAGGGCCAATTTATACAGCTAGTAGTTGTTGCTTCTTTATGTTTTCTTTTCTTCAGTTGCTTTCGCTTTGTTTATATATAATAAAAGCAGATGAAGGAACTTACTCAAGCACAGAGTAAACCATTCCTTTTCTGAAGAAATATGATAAAATTTAATGAAATTCCCTCTTCAATTCTAATCTTCTTTGTGTATCTTTGTCTCTTCACTAAACATGGTGCCTCAAGTTCAGTGGATAGGTTTACATACATTGTCCACATGGACAAGTCTTTGATGCCCAGAACCTTCAATGACCATAAAGATTGGTACTTTTCAATAGCATTGTCCAATGGACAAGTCTTTGATGCCCAGAACCTTCAAATGACCATAAAGATTGGGGTACTTTTTCGATCAACTAAAATCCCTTAAATTTTAACAAAATCCCACCTCATCAGAGACAGACACCGTTCTTTTACCACCAGTCCCATCCATTTGGTTTACTCTTATGAGAATGTTTGCTCATGGGTTTTGGCTGCAGTTTTATCTCCCAGTGAGCTCGAAACTCTTAGAAAACTCCTAGCAGGGTTTTGTCTCTGCATATAGAGACAGAATGGCAAACAATTGACACCAACCCAACTTTTTAATTCTTTCTTCTCAATTCTACCACTGGTCTGAGTGCCTGCTTCCAATTTTGGCGAAAGATGTTATAATTGGAGTCATCGATACTTGGTGGGTTTGGCCAGAAAGCCTTAGTTATAAAGATGATGGTATGAACTCCTGTAACCATCAAGATGGAAAGGGAATTTGTGAGAAGGAGAAGAAATTCCAACTTCTTCCTATGTGTAATTCCCAAAGCTAATTGGAGCGCTAGATATTTCAATAAAGGTGTTAAAGCTGCAGCTCCTGGGATTAAAATTATAATGAATTCTCCTAGGGATACTAGAGGCCATGGTACTCACACTTCCTCAACTGCTGCTGGTAATTATGTTAAAGATGCCACATTCTTTGGCTATGCTACTGGTACAGCTAGAGGTATGGCCCCGCGAGCTAGAGTAGCTATGTACAAGGTCTTATGGGAAGAAGGCCGCTACGCCTCTGATGTCCTTGCTGGCATGGATCAAGCAATCGCTGATGGCGTTGACGTGATTTCTATCTCGTCAGGCTTTGATGAAGTGCCTTTGTATGAGGATCCTATAGCAATAGCTTCATTTGCTGCAATGGAAAAAGGTGTGGTGGTATCAGCTTCTGCAGGAAATGAAGGGCCACCTCTAGGAAATCTGCATAATGGGATTCCATGGGTCTTGACTGTTACTGCTGGTACTATTGATCGTTCTTTTGCTGGAACATTAACACTGGGTAATGGCCAAAAAATCACTGGATGGACCATGTTCCCAGCTAATGCCTTCATACAAAATCAGCCACTACTGTACAACAAGACTTTTTCAGCATGCAACTCAACTAAATTGTTATCTCAGGCCCCGTATGCGATAATCTTGTGCGACGATACTGGGTTTGTCTTTAATCAAATAAATACTATTGCAGCCTTGTCAAATGTGCCTGGTGCTATTTTCATTTCAAACCATACTGTGTTATTCGAGTTAGGGGGTTTTTCTTGTCCCGGAGTTGTGATTAATCCTAATGATGCAATATCTGTTATGAAATATGTTACAACTGATAAGGATCCTTCCGCTAGCATGAAATTCCAGCAAACCATTGTAGGCACAAAGCCTGCTCCAGCTGCAGCCTATTATACTTCAAGAGGTCCTTCGCGGAGCTATCCTGGAATTCTAAAGCCAGATGTCATGGCGCCGGGTTCATTAGTTTTAGCCTCTTGGATTCCAAATGACAATTCTGCAAGAATTGGACTGAATATTCCCTTGTCGAGCAATTTCAATATGGTATCTGGTACTTCAATGGCTTGCCCTCATGTTTCTGGTGTTGCTGCACTCCTAAAAGGTGCACATCCAGAATGGAGCCCAGCGGCTATCCGATCTGCCATAGTTACCACTGCAAACCCATTAGATAATACTCTGAATCCAATCAGGGACAACGGTGAAAAGTTTGCATATGCATCTCCTTTAGCCATGGGAGCTGGCCAAATTGATCCTCACAGAGCATTGGACCCTGGTTTAATTTATGATGCCACCCCACACGATTATGTGAATATCCTATGCTCTATGAATTACACTAAAAAACAAATTTTGACCATCACAAGATCAAAGAGATACACTTGTTCAAACCCTTCCCCTGATCTCAACTACCCATCATTCATTGCTTTGTATGATAATAAAACAGCAGCAGTAGCAGTCCAAAGATTTCGAAGGACTTTAACTAATGTGGGAGATGGTGCTGCGACGTATAAAGCTAAGATAGTTGTAACGAAAGGTTCAAAAGTTACTGTTTCGCCTGATTCTTTGGTTTTCGGGAAGAAATATGATAAGCAGACCTATACTCTTACAATAAAGTACAGCAAAGACAAAGGAGGGAGAGTTTCATTTGGTTCCATTGTTTGGATTGAGCAGAATGGGGTACACACTGTCAGGAGTCCTATCGCAGTCTCTCCTGCTGTGAAGTTGTGGTAATATGAAAGGAAAAAAATTATCTAATTATTATAATCAAATAATTTCAGTCTGCCTAAATGCCATTGCAGAACCTAATAATAAATATACTTTATTATTTTCAAAATCTTCTTATAATTTATTCCTTATAATTAATTTTTCTTACAGAACACATTAAATTAACCTATATATATATATATATATATATAGAGTCCTATTGCAATTTCCCCTCTTGTACGAGCTTGATAATTGCAATTAAATATCTAGAAATATCATCAAATAAATTGTTTGACATTAATTTGAATTGTTAAAGATTTTCCTGCTTAAGAACTGAGCCTGAGATTGAAGGGGACAGGCATTCTTGGTTACAGACTTGTCCATACTTTTATTTCCTATATCAATCTCTCGTCTTCATTATTTTAAAGGTTATCCCACTTTAAGAGTTAAGAGTTGAGATTGAAGCGGATGGGCCTGCATATCCAATAAAGCAGAATGGGCTGGGGAGAGATGAACTAGTTCACTTCTGGGCCTACGCTGACATGACAATGACAGTTGGTTGATTATTTTTAGTTTTGTTTTGTTTACTAAAATTGTTTTTACATTTTTCACTTCCAAATTTCTTAATCATCCTAAATTAATTCAAAAATGAATTTCCATACTTTATATTAACTTTTTCTGTATTTGGATTGGTAAAAATATAAATATATCTTTGCATTTATCGTTAGGTATATAGAAAGTGACAATACAAGTTTTATTATAACAAAAAATAATTTCCCCTCACTCTCTAGCTTAAAGTAAAGGTAAAATAGAAAGTGACTTAATTTGAAGTTGACACAGTCCATGTCACTGTCTAGGAACAGCAAGTCTTCCACTAGTGAATTACTCAATCAAATAAGAAAAGCATATAGAGATGAATGTCCACACAAAGACCCCACAGGAAAAAAAAAAATAATTATCTTATTTTTTATCGATAATGTGAAATGAGTACCCAACCAACATTTCTAGGCCACATCATGATTACCCATTTTGCTTCTATCATTTGCTACTTGAATACCAAGAGAATATAAATATATATATTTATACATAAATATGCTTTCATATGATGAACGCATTAACTTGTGATTGGTTATTTCCTGTCTAGTTTTCTTGCAAATGATAATTCATTTTCCACCAACTGAAGCCACGTGTTTATGCGACCATTAATTAATCGCAACTGGCCCTTTTTCTATATGAAAAATTAATATGTAAATGCTTTATGCACTCATGACTTAATTAATAAGTGAAGAAAATTTTTAATCCGTTTGTTCATTTAAGTCTTCAATTTTTCTTTTCTCAAAATGACGAATTAATTTGCTAATCAGTAAATTTGGTTTGGACTCATTTTACATGTTGAATGAATACAAAAACTATATAATAAAATTAATGTTTATCGATTCCCCACAGATAAATAAACTGGCACCTTAAATTTGCACGTTATGTTATAATGATTCAAATGAAGGAATGTATTGTTTTTTCTATTCTTGACATTTCGAATACATACGTTTTTATCTTTTTGGTTCATTTAGATTTTTAATTTTTAGTAATTAACTGCAATTAGGTGGTTTCCTAGTCCATTTCCACTTTCTTTGTCAGGATTAGGAGTAAAAGAAACCGAGAAAAAGAAAAACGTGTTTTATAATCCGATTCAGATTTGAAGAGACAAGCAACAAAGATCCTGTGGACATTTTGTGCACGCGAGGATCTGCTTGTGCCAGTTGAAGCAATTGCTCGTCCATATCCACAAAAACTGATAAAGCCAAAGCACTCTCATCCTATCTTTTCAGATATCTCTACTTATAAGTTTCAATTTTGTGGTAATTAAGAGAATCAACCTCACTTAATTAAGCTAAACAGCTAATCCCACCATAGATTTATGCAAGTCAATACAGCTTGATGTTAATGGGCACAAGTCATGGATCTGTTTTTCATTATTAATCATGTGAAAAACTTAAGGTACAAGTTGGAGATATTAAAGAAAACAAAAACTAGACATAAAATTTGAGCATCTCTTCTTGTTCAATTATTCTCTATATAAATATACACAACTAAAATATTCATATCATTGGTTCCCTTTGATTTGTTCATCCATGGCTACTTTTCTGTGGCTTTCCTTTATCTCTGTCTCTCTTTTCATCATTCCTGGATTAACATTAAGTGACAATTATATTGTTCATATGGATTTATCGGCCATGCCTAAAGCCTTCTCTACCCATCATAGTTGGTACTTGGCCACTCTTTCTTCTATTTCTGCAGTGTCTAATAATGGCGGAGGCGGAGGCGGAGGCGGAAGCGGAAGCGCCATTGCAGATTCGAAAATTCTTTATAGTTATACTCATGTAATTAATGGTTTTAGTGCTCATCTTTCTCCTTTTGAGCATGAAGCCTTGAAGAAATCTCCAGGCTACATTTCTTCCTTTAAAGATCTTCCTGTTAAACTAGACACAACTCGTTCACCCACATTTCTTGGTCTCACTTCCAACTCTGGTGGAGCATGGCTGCCCTCGAATTATGGGGAAGATATCATTATTGGAGTTGTGGATACCGGAATTTGGCCGGAAAGTGAAAGCTACAGTGACAAGGGAATTTCTGGAATTCCAAAAAAATGGAAAGGGGAATGTGAGAGTGGCACTCGATTCAACTCTTCATTGTGCAACAACAAGCTAATCGGAGCTCGCTTTTTTAATAAAGGACTAATTGCAAGTAATCCAAACATCACTATTTCCATGAACTCAACCCGTGACACCGACGGCCATGGCACCCACACCTCAAGTACGGCGGCTGGAAATTTTGTGGAAGGTGCAGAGTTCTTTGGGTATGCCCCTGGAACTGCTGCTGGAGTAGCTCCCAGGGCTCATGTAGCCATGTACAAAGCTCTTTGGGATGAAGGCGCTCTTGCATCCGATATAATTGCTGCAATCGATCAAGCAATCATTGATGAAGTAGATGTCTTGTCGATTTCACTAGGCTTGGACGGTGTTCCTTTGTATGAAGATCCTATCGCCTTAGCCTCGTTTGCTGCCTTGGAGAAGAATATATTTGTTTCAACTTCTGCAGGAAACGAAGGGCCTTTCCGTAGTACGCTACACAACGGCATTCCTTGGGTGTTAACTGTTGCTGCTGGCACATTAGACCGGTCATTCGATGCCGTTTTGACATTTGACAATGGAGTTTCAGTCACCGGCTCGTCTCTCTATCCTGGTAATTACACTTCCACACAAGCTCCAATCGTCTTCTTGGATACTTGTCTCAATACCAAAAAATTAGATGCCGTTGGTCAAAAAATTGTCGTCTGTCAAGACAAAAATGCTTCCTTAGACGACCAATTTGATAACCTAAGGAGCGCGAATATCACTGGAGGTGTTTTTATAACAAATTACACAGACCTTGAATTATTCCTCCAAAGTGGATTTCCAGCAATATTCGTGATTCCAAAAGATGGGGAAACGATCAAAGATTTCATTAAAAGCAGAAACAACCCACAAGCCAGCATGGAGTTTCGACAAACAAAAGTGGGTATCAAAGAAGCTCCAACTCTTACAAGCTACAGCTCTAGAGGACCATCTCCAAGTTGCCCATATGTAATGAAGCCTGATATTATGGCTCCTGGTGCTTTAGTGTTAGCTGCATGGCCAGAAAATGTTGCAGTACTGAAACTCAATTCCAAACTAATGTACAGCAACTTCAATATATTATCTGGTACGTCAATGTCTTGCCCACATGCAGCAGGAGTCGCAGCACTTTTAAAGAAGGCACACCCAGACTGGAGCCCCGCCGCAATCCGGTCAGCCATGATGACCACCGCGGACACCGCGGATCATACTGAAGGGCCTATTCAAGATATTGGGAATGAAAACCAACCGGCAAGTCCTTTAGACATGGGAGCTGGAGAAGTTAATCCTAGTAAGGCATTAGATCCTGGCCTGATTTATGACTTGAATTCAACTGATTACGTGAAACTTCTTTGTGGATTAAACTTTACAGCTAACCAAATAAAAACTATCACGAGATCATCTTCTAACGATTGTTCATCCCCGTCTTTGGACCTCAACTACCCTGCTTTTATTGCTTTCTTTAACTCTAACGAGTCAAAATTGGGTTTGGCCACCGTTACAGAATTTCACAGGACAGTGACCAATGTAGGTGAAAGAACGTCAATTTACACGGCAAAAGTGACACCCATGGATGGATTAAAGGTCAGTGTGGTTCCAGACAAGTTGGAGTTCAAAAGCAAGTATGAAAAGCTAAGTTACAAACTGGTGGTAGAAAGTCAAAGCCAGCTAAGACAAAATGTAATCTATGGTTATCTTAGTTGGGTTCATTCCGAGGGTAAATACGTTGTCAAGAGTCCCATTGTTGTCACAAGCTTAAGCTCAGAGGCAATTACTTCTTAGAAGATCTAACCATGTCAAGTAGTATTTTTTTTTTTCCCCCTAGAATAAGTAATTTGTATTGCTACTTGTACACTTTACAGGTCAACAAGCATTTTCCTATATCCATTGTTGAAATAAAGTTAATCTGCATGCATTAACGGTTCGTGGTGGAGCTTCATCTTATCCAATAGGGTCTTGTGTGGTTCATACATAATTTATACATTTGATTGTTTAGTCCAGTGGATACATTTCTGCAGAAGCAATAAACAATAAGATGTTAATCACATGCCACCAACATTAAATAAATAAAATTAATATATGAAGACAAATATTTAATATTAGAAAATTTGAAGAAATTAAAGGACCAATTAAATTTTTGTTTTAATAGAGATTGCCAAATTATATGTATATTTATTACTGGACTAAACTATGTATTAGTGTGCTTAGTTCAGAGCTAAATTTTTATGATTCATTCTGCTCATATTTATATTTCTCCATTTTCCACTAACGTTTGGCAATTGTTGATGACTATTATTACACTGGTTTCTGTACTTGGCCAATCATTGATGAGAAAAAGTGCTTCAGGGCTTCCGCGTTGGGTGGCATTTTTCCAGTATTTTTCTTTAAATAAGAAGAAATTATATAATCAATGTACTCTGTAATTAACTAACATTTAAAACAATTTATATATATATTTTAAATCTAGAAGCAGTCAAGCACATGCAGTTGATCGATTGTTCTACCAAACGACATGAATATTGAAAAATAAAATAATTAAATATATTTGATGAAATAAAATCCAAAGGCAGCCATTATAAAATTATTACACAAGAAAATTTCTTTACGGAATCTTAAAAAATTGTCTGCACCTCTCCTTTTTTTATGCCAAGAACATTGGCCCACATCCAGAATTTCTACTCTACTCGTCTGGATCTACTCTCTCTCTCTCTCTCTCTCTCTAACTAACATTTAAAACAATTATATTTATATATTTTTAAAGTCTAGAAGAAGCAGTCTCAAGCACATGCAGTTGATCGCGATTGTCTCCAAAACGACGATGTAATATTGAAAAATAAAATAATTAAATATATTGATGAAATTTAAAATCCAAAGGCCAGCCATTATTAAAATTATTACACAAGAAAAAATTCTTTACGGAATTCTTAAAAAAATTGTCTGCACCTCTTTCCTTTTTTTTATTGCGCAAGAAACAATTTGGGCCCACATGCGCAGAATTTCTTAACTCTACTCGTCTGGATCTACTTTTCTCTCTCTCTCTCTCTCTCTCTCTCTCCTCTCTCTCTCTCTCTCTTCTTTTCTCTCTCTCTCTTCTTCTCTCTATATTATATATAATATATATATATATATATATATTAGAAATTTATAACTACGATATACTAACGTATATCACTAGTTTTATATATTTATCGAGTTTGAATTTACGGTAAGAATTTTCATCAATTTAGTGAGTCAATGTCTGATGCTAATTTTGAACTTCCTAATGAATTAAAACGCGATTTATCCTTATTTAAGTAGAATTATATAATTACAATTTCAAATACAAAAATGAATTTAACTATCTCAATGTAGGCTATACCTATATTATAGTCGTGGTTTTTAGTTTCATTGTATGAAAACTGATTGTTCTTTTAAAGAATTTTGAGATATCAAAAAATTTTTGACTCTATTTTTTATCCAGCCCATGCCCTAATGACTAATGTTGAACGAAAGAAATAAATGAGCATCTAGAATTTTATTTATATACAGATAAGAGCTGTCAGCTGAGAACATGGAAAATTTCCATTTCTTCCTCTTGTATCAAGTCAAAAATTACGTGGCCATTGGCTGGCTGATTGCGGAAGAAGATGGAGATCACCGATTACATTCATCTCCTTAATTTGAATTTCTAGTCAATAGGAGCTGCTTTTAGAGAAATTGGACTAATACATTAATTATTGAAAATCATTGACTCATTGAGCATAATTCTGGTTCACACTGATCATGGTTGATTCTGTTAGGTTTATTTTGGGTAAAATACAAATTGGATCTTTAATCAACAGGCCCAAGCCCAACACTAAGTTACTAATCACACAACATGACAAGGCACTTACAATTCCGGTTCACCGTATTGTAATCTAGTGTGATAGAGAACACCGTATTGTACACAGTATAAATAGCCAATCTACGTTGAAAATGTTGGATCCTTTTACTCCATTCCCGAGCCAGCAGTTGTTGAATATAATTCATAAAGTGAATAAGACCAACCGGAGATGTCATCTCTTTCTTAAACATTTTCAGCATCACCACGTCATCTGTTTCTGTTTTTTAGTCATTATTGTCAAATAAATCAGTGGGGTCAAATAGTATAGAAAAATAAAAAATAAATAAAAAAATAAAACCATTTTAATAAAGTATATTTGACTAGAAGGATATATTTTTAATCAAGAACAAAATTTTTTTTTTTTTTTCACTTTTAATCGGAATCAAGTGTTTAAGCTTAGCAAAATACATGGTTTAATAGCCCTAATTTAAACAGTAGAAATTATTTTTATACTAAATTAATGAGAAATGTAAAAAGAAAGAGTGAGTTGTCTTGTTCCATAATCTTTTAGTATACTGACCCATTTTATTTTTTCATAAATAAAAAAAATAGACAAAACAATTATGTGCTTCAATTTTTTTTTTTTTTTTTTTTTTTTTTTTTTTTTTTTTTTTTTTTTGAAAAAGAATTTATGCAATTTTTTTTTTTTTTTTTTTTTGAAAAGAATTATGTGCTTCGTTAAGAAGAAGCTTGTTACAGTGGAGTTCCCAAACTTATAGACATAACCTTACAGCTACTGAAAGAAAGGCTAACTAATAGATATTTCTGTAAGTTCTTTTAACTTTTTCTTATTTATATATCTTTTTCTTTTATAAGTTCTTTCTGTAACAGCCCACCCCAACTATCAGCCATAGAAATCTTACATCATTCGTATAGTTAAGAAATGCTAAGTGGTTAATACATGCTAAGTAATTAGTGTTAAAATAAGTTTAGGTATTGGAACACTCTTTCTCTCCCCTTCTGTTTTCTTAATGGAAAGAGCAGCCTTGAAAAGCAAGTCTAAAGTTCTCTCTTTTTAGAATTTTCTATATTCCACACTAACCTACATGTCATCTATATCCCATATTCATTATAATTTCGGTATTCCATTCATATATTTAAAAATTGTCATCATCCAAAATCCAAATCCGTGTCTGCAACTTGCGAGCTGGCTAGTGGAATGAAAGGTTAAATTGGGTTTTGGCTATGGCTAGTGGACAGGATTGGGGACACTCCTCTTCCAAATAAAAATAATGGTTAAAGAGTTTCAGTACTTATTTTCTATATAAGCACACCCAAATTTGCAGTATTCTACCAAAATATCACTTCTCTCCATTATTGCAAAAACCATGGCTAAGAATTACATTATTATTCCTTTTTTTCCTTTGATTTTGTTTACTACTACCTTCTCCCTCTTCCTCCTGACATTATCACAAAGTGAAACTTATATTGTCTATATGGACTCAACAGCCATGCCTAAAGCCTTCTCTACCCAGCATAGCTGGCATTTGGCTACTCTTTCTTCTGTTTTTGCAGACTCTAAAGCTGCAAGTTCTAATTCTAAACTTCTGTACAGTTATACACATGTTATGAATGGTTTTAGTGCTCATCTTTCTTCTTCTGAGCTTGAGGCCTTGAAAAATTCTCCAGGTTACATTTCTTCCACTAAAGACCGCCCTGTTAAACCTGACACTACCCGTTCGCCTACATTTCTTGGCCTTACTTCCAACTCCGGAGCTTGGAAGGTTTCAAATTACGGAGAAGATATAATTATTGGAGTGGTGGATACTGGTGTTTGGCCTGAAAGTGAAAGTTTCGGTGACAAAGGAATGCCTAAAATTCCAAAAAGATGGAAAGGAATATGTGAAAGCGGTCAACAATTCAACTCCTCATCTTGCAACAACAAACTAATCGGAGCTCGCTTTTTCAACAAAGGACTACTTGCTAAATGGAATGTTTCTATATCAGTGAACTCTGCGCGTGACAACGTTGGCCACGGGACCCACACAGCCAGCACAGCGGCTGGGAATTTTGTCCAAAACGCGTCATATTTTGGGTATGCTACGGGAACGGCCGTTGGAGTGGCTCCCCGCGCTCATTTAGCTATATACAAGGCCCTTTGGAGAGAAGGCTCTTTTGAATCTGATATAATTGCTGCAATTGATCAAGCAATTATTGACGGAGTTGATGTCTTGTCTATTTCATTAGGCTATGACGGGTTTCCATTGTATGAAGATCCTATCGCCTTGGCTACATTTGCAGCTATAGAGAAGAATATTTTCGTGTCAGCTTCTGCTGGAAATAATGGACCATTCCACGGATCACTTCATAATGGCGCGCCTTGGGTGCTAACAGTTGCTGCTGGTACAATAGACCGCGAATTTGAAGCTGTTTTGACACTCGGCAATGGAGTGTCACTTACCGGCACAGCTCTTTATCCAGGCGGTTATGCTTCTAGACCAACTGCAATTGTTTTTAGAGGCGAATGTTTCACACAGGAGGAATTATCTGATATTGAGCAAAAGATTGTGGTTTGCCAAGAGGGAAATACTTCTCTAGAAGACCAAAAAGAGAATCTCAGCATTAAAAATATCACTGGAGCTATTTTTATACCCAAATATTTCGTTGACATAGAAGATTTCATTCCAAGCGAATTTCCAGCAATATTTATGTCACCAAAAGATGGAGAAACAATAAAAACTTACATAAAGAGCAGCAAAAAACCAGTAGCAACTGTGGAGTTCAGAAAAACAAGATTAGATATTAAAGGAGCTCCAAGTCTTACTAGTTACAGCTCTAGAGGACCATTTTTAAGCAGCCCAACTGTGATGAAGCCTGATATTATGGCTCCTGGTTCTTTAATATTAGCTGCATGGCCTGAAACTTCAGCAGTGGAATCAATCAATGCTGAAGGAATATTCAGCAACTTCAATTTAGAATCTGGAACTTCAATGGCTTGCCCACACGCAGCAGGAATCGCAGCACTTGTAAAAAAGGCACATCCAGATTGGAGCCCTGCAGCTATCAGATCAGCTATGATGACAACTGCTGATACTACAGATAACACGCTTGGGCCTGTAAGAGATATTGGATTTAAAAACGCACCAGCAACTCCTTTAGGAATGGGAGCCGGTCAGGTTAATCCAAACAAGGCGTTGGACCCTGGACTTGTTTATGACGTTAATACATCTGATTACGTCAAGCTTCTCTGTGCATTAAATTTCACCCAAAAGCAAATTCAAATTATCACGAAAACAGCTAACAACGATTGCTCATCTCCTTCCTTGGATCTGAACTATCCATCTTTTCTTGGATTCTTTAACAACGAATCAGAACCTAATCCAAGAAAAGTTGTAGAATTTCATCGAACAGTTATGAATGTAGGAGACGCAGCTGCAACTTATACTGCGAAATTGACACAGTTGAATCATGGATTGAATGTGACTGTTGTGCCAAACAAGTTGGTGTTTAAAAGCAGGAACCAGAAGCTAAGTTTCAAATTGGTGATAGAAGGTCCAAGAAAAGTGGATGAAGATATAGTATTTGGGTATCTCAGTTGGGTTGAATCTAATGGCAAACACATTGTCAAGAGTCCCATAGCGGTAACGAGCTTGAATTTGGAGTATATGATAATGGGGCCTAATTAGAGGTTCTAACACCTGATTTATATAACTATACTTTTAGCAGTAAATTCAATAAAATTTTCCTTTCTGAGCTAAACAGTTTGTGGAGATTTCCACTTGTCTGAATCTGAATCTGAATCTGAATCAAAGGACATTATACGTATTCTGAATCTGAATCAAAGGAAACTGAAAAGAAGGATCCAACTACGTTTCGCTTTTGGATTGAACTTATAAAATTGGGTCGAAGTTATTGGGCTTCTGTGTTCAAGCCCATTTCATTTCAAGTTTACTTACTATGTTTTATACCAATTGACTCTTTTTTTTTTTTTTTGAAATACTATTATATATTATATACTATATATATTATATATATATTATTATATATATATGGTTTGTACTCGAGCATTGGCCTATTGGCTAACGAAAATTTCGTTTATTTCGGAAAAATAATTTATCTTAAAAAAAGTTTTTTTTGAAATGCAATTTTTTTATCTGCAAGGACAAGAAACTGGAAAATGAAAATAAAATAAAAAGAGATTAAAAAAAAATAGCAGGAGGAAGCGAGCCGAGTAGAAAAAACAATTGAGTAACACATGGAAATGCCTTCGAATCGGTATCTGTTCCACATGGGTTCGCATGCTTGATGTGGAGCCCACATCATGACCCGAAACTTACACCCTTGGTATTGGCATATGCATTGCAAAACGAGTGAAATCCATACTTGAACTTAATAGCAAGTTAGCAACTTTTTTTGAACTTTTTTATTCATTTATTTACCATATAAAAGAAAATGTTCAATTTCTTTTACAAATTTAATTTATAAAAAAATTATATAAAAATCATTTATCTCAAGTAGAATTTAAATTTTAATTTACAAATATAAAATATTTTTTGGAAATGCACTTATATATATATATATTTTCTATCTTTATAGAGCGATTCCCATTTTCTTTTCTTTACAGGAAAGAATTTAGTGACTAATGGCAGACTACTATGCACCACTATGAAATAGTAGAAGAGACAGAGAGAGTCCATACTCAGCTCTCCATTTGCGTTTTAATTAAAAATCAAAAATTATTTTCTCACATGTTTTTTGTACCCAGTATTCCTACAATCCAACTAAACCAGCTTGTTAAATTGGTTAATTTACAAAATAAAAAGGATAGTTAGAATTGAAAATAAAAAAGGGAAAATCTTTAGACAAATGGTTCTATTACGTCGCAGTTTCCTTAAGCAGCGCTACAGGATAGAAACCGACAAATAATAGAATGGTGGCGGTGCCAGCTGTAACCCTGCTGTCGACCCCAAACGCATAAATTCTTATGTCTCTTTTGCGGATTTACTAAAACAACATTCTATCTTCCCCTTATTATTAATCATTATTATTTTCATTTAATCACCTACACCACCAGTTGTCAGTTGACAATCTGAACAAATCCTTTCATTTTCTTAAAGTCACCATCGCCTAACCAAATCCACAGAGAGGAACACACCAAAAACGGCTCATCTTTGCATAAATAACTCTTAAGATTTATGACAAATTGACAGCTGATTTTAAGACTCCGGTGATAGTGTTTGTGTTTCTGGATTTTCGTTTGGGCATTTTGACGAACGCCAAAAATGCACGCCAAAACAGACTCGGAGGTGAGCAGTATCACACCATCGTCTCCCACTAGATCTCCGCGCCGCCCAGTCTACTACGTACAGAGCCCATCCAGGGACTCTCACGATGGGGAGAAAACGACCACGTCGTTTCATTCCACGCCTGTGCTTAGTCCCGTGGGATCTCCACCTCATTCTCATTCCTCCGTCGGACGCCACTCTCGCGAGTCATCTTCTAGTAGGTTTTCTGGGTCCTTGAAGCCCGGATCGCGCAAGATCTCTCCTAATGATGGGTCAAGGGGCGATCAGAGAAAGGGACAGAAGCAATGGAAGGAGTGTGCGGTGATTGAAGAAGAGGGGCTTCTTGAAGATGAAGAGAGAGAAAAGGGAATACCTCGTCGCTGCTATTTTCTTATTTTTGTTCTCGGTTTCTTTGTTCTCTTCTCTTTTTTCTCTTTAATTCTATGGGGTGCCAGTAAGCCACAAAAACCCAAGATCACAATGAAGGTAATTATTTAATTTATTACTTCTTATCACAATTTAATCCGAAAATTAAGATTTCTCCAGACGGGATTTGGTTGATTACTTGATTTTGCTTATTTTGTTTGCAGAGTATAACATTTGAGCATTTTGGCATTCAAGCTGGCTCCGATGCTACAGGAGTGGCAACTGATATGATTTCAGTGAACTCTACAATAAAGATGATTTATCGCAACACAGGAACATTTTTTGGAGTCCATGTAACATCCACACCAGTCGATCTATCCTATTCAGAGATCACCATAGCTTCAGGAATTGTAAGCCTCTGAAATTTTTTAAAAATTCATTTCATCATTTGCATCGATTTTAAATTAAAACTAATTTTCCTAATAATTTGACATGGGTATTTCAGCTAAAGAAGTTTTACCAGTCAAGGAAAAGCCATAGATCGGTTGCAATATCCGTAAAGAGCAATAAAATTCCTCTGTATGGAAGCGGAGCGGGTTTAAGCAGTTCAACGGGGATGCCTACCCTACCAGTGCCTCTAAAGCTAAACTTCATTATCAGATCGAGAGCTTATGTTTTGGGGAAATTGGTTAAGCCAAAATTCTACAAGAGAATTGAATGTGATATTACTTTTGACTCCAAGAAGCTCAATGTCCCAATCTCGCTTAAGAAATCTTGCACATATGATTGATTGAAGATAGTGATTTACATTCTTTATTAAAAAAAAAAAATTCCTCTTTTAATTTATTTTTGTTTAGTTGTCGTTGAAGAAGAAGAGTGGAAATGAGAAACAGCTAAGCGGGCAGCTTTAGAGACTGGGTGGGCAAGGATCGGTTTTGGACTTTTTGGTTGCCCCGAAGTGTGAAAACAGCCTGGAATGGATTCGATAGTGACTTGTGAGTGATAAAGTCATAGTAACTTTTCTTTTCTTTAATCTCTCAATATGAATATAAATATTGATGTAAAATTAATAAACTGTATTATTATTATTTTTTGTGTAATAATAAACTGTATTACTATTAGTATTATTTAATTTAATATTTATATTCATTCTTTTGCGAATTTGTATTTGTTAATTTCTTGTAATATAATTATGTTCGCAAGTAATTGAATTTTCAAAGGTCAACTTTAGTCGTTAATTGCTCTGAAAAATAATTAGATTTATCCGTAATTACGGAGTAGCTATCTATAAAGAAAGACCAAATCTAAATAAAATTTCTCTTACAAATTGCATCAAAAACAAAACCAGTACAAAGTTAAACCACCACTACTAAGCATATAATAGTGGCAGACCATTTTCGAGTTTTGAGTTTTGACAGATCATTTTGGTTGCTTCTCCTAACTCCTAAGCATATAATTAGCAGAGGGTAACTTATATGGAGCATCTTGGAAGCATTACTTAAATGAAAATGAAAGCATCTCGTCTTGTCTGGTTGTCCTTAGCCATGTTGCTTCTTCATCTTTGCACATGTTAACTGGCAGGTTCTTGGTCAATAAATTACTAATACTAAATTGGTCAAAATATTGTTACCGAAATCAATAATTTTTCATCTTCAATTATTGTGAAACTGTATGATTTCTTTATTTATATATCTAATACATGGGTAATCCTTATTAGGATTCCATAATCTGTCGGTGCCGTGCTGTAGGCTGGAACCCCTAAGACTGTATGAATGGGGTCGGCTGCCAATAACAAATAGTATATTGGTTCAATGGATGGTACCGGAAAAAAAATAAAATAATAGCAGTATCTTTTATATATAAAGCAGTATCTTTTATATAAATATAATATCATATAGTATATGAGAGACTTATATACCCATATATATTTTTTTTATTTTATTTATATATTTTTTTTTAATTTTATTAACTTGATGCATGAAACCACCCATATACCCCGAGAGTGGACAAGCGTTATCCAGCAAATATATATTTCTAAATGAATATTAGGAGTTATGGTTTAATCTACGCCCAAGAAGAATACCAATTAGCACAGATACAGCATTAAACTAATAAAACTTGTGACAGTACATGCCTTCGTTTCAGAACTACAAACTAAGCCCAAACCACCATTGAGATTTGAGACATGTCAACGGCATCATTTTGAAGCCCAATGCAATAACCTAACAATTGCAAGAAATAAAAATTACAATTCATTTCAAAATTTTTCTATCTCCTGCAATGGGTGATACAAGAGCATCCTCTAGTGTAAGGATTAACAGGCTCTCTCGATCTAAAACAATTATGACTATAGTAAGACCTTCCTGAACGAGGCGGACAAGGCACCCGATTTGCAGAGAGAGCACCATAAGATATGTGATAGTGCATTGGTCTTCCATACAGAGACCTTCTATCCGATCTTCCATCATCATCTTCATCATCTTTGTCGTAGAAATTAGGCATAGTTGAAGATGCGCCCCATTCAAGAGGATCGGCCATCATTATCTGCTGGAAGCTTTTTTGATTGATTTGATAAGCTTCAATGAGCAGACACAGAAAAGAAAGAGCAAGAGTCGCTTTTAGAAGTGAAAGCGCCATATGGACTATGTGGTTAGCTTAGAGGGAGAGTTTGGTTCAGAAAGACTATGATTTATGAAGAAGGAAAGAATCGTGACTATATGAGGTGTTCACATGGAAATGAGGTTAGTTATTTCTCTTGCCGGTTTGCCTCTGCCCTATTTACGCAGCTTTCAACGCGCCACCATGCCGTTTCTTTAAAGATTATTCATTTCAGAATTTATTTCATCAGAATACATCCAATCAAAAACACTATCGATCGGTGTTCTTTGCCAATCACGTGCAAAATCCATGTACTAAAACTTTAAAAATAAATTTGTTTCAGTAAAAAAAAAAAAAAATTGTCTTGAATGATTTGCACTTAGAGTGATAAGAAATGCATGTGATTAATAATCAATTTCTACTTACATTTAAGTATAAAAATTATCACTCTGCAAGGAGTGTTATCTCTATGATGTCAGATTCGATCTATGAAAAATTTTCCACTTTTAAAAAGGAATAACCACAAACTCCAAAAAGCAAGAAATTAGTTTCATATCAAATTTCAATATTCATGGAAAAAAAAAAATCTAGTTAAGAAAAAAAGAAAAGAAATACAGAAACTATGGAATAACAGTTAAATGGATTTGAACGCAACAGCTGTTATGTTGTAACCTCTTGTAGTGGATCAGGCCGAGGAGTTTCTTAAGGCGGGACAAACGAATATAGGTTGGGCTGGCGCAGCCCAGTTCATAGCTACAAACGGTCAACTAACTAAAAGCACCAAATTAGTAATTTAGCAAAACTTTTGGCGGTAGAGAGTCAATTTACAATATTTCCAGGACCTTCTGGAAAATAAGGAGAATCCCTCCATCGGCCATCTCGCCAGACTCTTTATTCACATTGCCTCTCGTTTCTCTCTCTTTCCCAGTTCCTCTATCGATTTCTCCATGGCTTTTCCTCAAAATCATTTTCAGCAGCAGTACCAACCTCAACAACAACATCAGCAGTCCAAGAACTTGAGGTAAGTTTGTCTCCAAACGCTAATGAATTTTGATGTTCATTTCATTCAAAACCCTAACGCCTTCGCATTTGATATGTTCATCAAATTCAGCTTTGTTTTTAATTCGTTATCACAAATCGTTTTCCTTTCATGTCCAGAAATTTGTATTCAATCGATGGACAGATTACTCCGTCTATCGCCTATTACAATCCAGCTAATTTGCAAGATCAGTCTCAAAATCCTCCCTATATTCCGCCTCCTTGTAAGCTCTCTTTCGCTTTTTCCTTTTTTTTTTTTTTTTTTTTTTTTTTTTTTTTTTTTGTGTTTCATTTATTTTTTTTTTTTTTTTTTTTTTTTTGTGTTTCATTTAACGTTATGAAACCATACGGTAGTTAATAGAGGATTCTTTGGTGCGTAGCTAAGTCATTTCTAGGTTAATGAACCTCAATATTTATTATTTTGCAAAAGAACTTCAATTATTCTTATTTTTCAAGTTTAGCTAGCTTTGCCCTTGGGCTTTATCTTAAATCAGTTTAAAAAATTCTGAATATTCTGTTTGTATTGGTCTTCTTCTAGTTCATGTCGTGGGGTTTGCACCGGGTCCAGCTCCTGTAGCTGATGGAAGTGATGGGGGAGTTGATTTGCAATGGAATTATGGGCTGGAACCTAAGAGAAAGAGGTTAAAGGAGCAAGATTTTTTGGAAAATAATTCACAAATTTCATCAATTGACTTCTTGCAAGCACGATCGGTTTCAACTGGGTTAGGATTGTCCCTTGACAATACCCGAGTTTCATCTTCTGGAGACTCCACGTTGATTTCACTTATTGGTGACGACATTGATAGGGAATTTCAACGGCAGGATGCAGAGATTGATAGATTCCTCAAAGTTCAGGTCTGTGCTTAAAGAGTGTGCCTGCTTGTGAATTGTTATAATATAGGGAAAATAAGCATGCTACTAGGTCCCATTTTTCTATGTTGGCTTATCTTTTTTTGATTCACGTTGGAAGTGCTTACCTTCTTAATGTGGTTCAAGCATTGTGAAACTTGCTGTTACTTGTATTTCTTTTATATGCATTTATAATGTTCTTATGTTGATGTGTTGAATATGACAGTTATTTAGGTACTTGACATTGGTTCCGAATCAAATGATATCTATAAGTGGATCTGACCTATGTTCTTTGCTAATGTGCTTCCTGTGTTATTTGAAGCTGCTACTTAGCCTAAGCTTATTCTTTGTAATTCTTTTGATGATTAGGGGGGTGGATTGGTACATTGTTGCTAGATTTTGTGTTGAGAGCAGCTACTTGGCCTAACTTTCTTCTTTGTCATTCTTTTGATGATTAGGGGGATGTCTTGGTAGATTGTTGCTAGATTTCGTGTTAATTGTTAAAAAAAAAATATATAAAAAAAAAAAAATCAATGAACTAATTTCATTTTATAGATCTGTGCGCATAGTGATATAGCCCGTTAATTTAAAGAACAACTTCTGGCTTGTATTAAGTTGACTAGGTTCTCTTCCCAACGTGCAAAAACAAATAGCTAATTTTGGAAGTTTTTGATTGTGTGTTTGTCCTTTTATAGGAAAATCTTTCATTTGTTTTAATATTCTATGTAATACCAGTGCAAATTACCATCAAATCTGATGATTGTATACAACTTTGTAAATAGAGTTTAAAAAGTCAATGCATTTATGGTTATGTCTGTAGGAGGGGTCTTTTCGTTTGTTGTCTTTGCAGATATAGATATGATGGGCTTTGCCTCCTTTTTTTGTTTTCTTTTTTTTTTTTTTTTTTTTTTTTTGGTTTTTTTTTTTTTTTTTTTTTTTTTTTGGATGGTTAGTGAGGACAGCTGAAAGTGGAAACTTAATTGGTCTTTTCTTTATGAGAACTGATTAATCCTTCTATTTGTTACATGAGAATCGTGGATGCTTCTGTTGGTCCTTTAAGCGATACACAGGGTATGTTTATGATAGGATCAATTTTATGAACATGTATTTTTGGTAAGTGAATTTCTTTCTAGTTAATGAATGAAATACTTTAGCTGTTGCTTCACTTATGAACCTTCTCTATTTGATTTCGTTCACTTATGAACCTTCTCTATTTGATTTCGTGCTCGTTTTAAATGAGTTACTTTTCCTACTTTAGCTGTTGCTTCACTTATGAACCTTCTCTATTTGATTTCATGCTAGTTTTAAATGAGTTACTTTTCCTTTCAAGCTTTTTAGCTACCCTTACTTTTGGTACACGCGTGTGCTCCATTTGTAAATCTGTCTGATATTAGTGAATAGAAATCAATGTCATGGAAAAATACACTTTGTATCTCTGAAATTATCTTTTATTAGGCATGCACAAACTTTTCTTTTTCCTCCAAAGAAATGGGTTGGTATATACCTGAAAAGCTTAGACATAGTTAAAACGTGCATGGAAAATTTTTGCTAGAGGCATTATTATCTGAAATAAAACGAGCTCTTTTGGAGTATTAGCCAAAGCATCATATGGTGGTGGCAGCTCTTCTCTGTACTTGGTGAGCCAATCCAATGTGATGTTGCATTCTCTTGAAACACGACTTATGCAAACTCTGGATTTTCATAGGCTTGCTTCTTTTCTTTTCTCGTTTTGATTCTTAATCACCCAAACTTTGTACAAGATGGCCATTATAGGCATTTTTCTGCCTCATATATTTGTTTTCACTTTTTGCAGTGATTTGGTTATTTATACATATTATTGAAGCATTGTTTATTTCCTTCCTTTTCCGGTAGGGTGATCGATTGCGTCAAACCATCCTAGAGAAGGTTCAGGCTAACCAACTCCAAACTATCTCGCTTGTGGAAGAAAAAATTCTTCAAAAGCTTCGCGAAAAAGAAGCAGAGGTTGAGAGCATTAACAAGAGGAACATGGAGCTTGAAGAAAGAATGGAACAATTATCTGTGGAAGCAGGTGCTTGGCAGCAACGCGCTAGGTACAATGAAAATGTGATAAATGCCCTCAAGTTTAATCTTCAGCAAGTCTATGCTAAAAGTAGAGATAGTAAAGAAGGGTGTGGTGACAGTGAGGTGGATGATACTGCTTCTTGCTGTAATGGACGTGCCATTGATTTTCATCTGCTCTCTAAGGAGAGCAATGACATGAAAGAACTAATGACTTGTAAGGTTTGCAGAGTCAACGAGGTGTGCATGCTTCTGATACCTTGTAAGCATCTCTGTCTATGTAAAGATTGCGAGAGTAAGCTTAGTTTTTGTCCTCTGTGTCAGTCTAAGTTTGTTGCCATGGAAGTCTATATGTAATAGGATATAGGAAGTCAGTATGTAATAGGATATATAATATATAATTATATATATACTATATATATAATTATATATGAAAGGCCAAATCTTATGCTAAAGATATATGAAAGGCCAAATCTTATGCTAAAAGTTATATGCATCACTTTATATATATCATTTGAATGATTGACTGTTGCTTGTGCTGGCTGTTACATTTTGTTTTTTTTTTGTTTTTTTTTTTTCCTTGTCGCGCCATTGTATTATAAACATTTCCCAGTAAACGGCATATTAGTTCGAAAATCTTGGATGCTCTGCTTTATATATGGTAACCAAGAAACCTTTTGGTGCATTGATTTAACCAAATAATTTGGTAATATATACTTGAGAAAAACATGGAATTATTGTTGGCAGGTGTTTCATGTCCGGAGAGATTACTTATACTCTATCATTCCTTTGAAGTGAAAGATGTTTCACTAGCTCCTCTAGGAAAAAAACATGACGAGAGCTGGATTACTACGCTTATAGAATATAGAATTGCGTCTGATAAAGCCATCTCTCAATGAATTGGCATGTTTAAATGTAAACGCTGAATTATTTTTTATTTTAATGTTCTTTTTAGAATTGTCAAAAGCTGAATTATTCGTTACAACTTTGAAGAGAAGATATCAATTGCTTAAAGGAACATGCATGGGCTTTTTACGTGATGTGGGCTATGAAAAGCCCAAATAAAAAAATTATGCCTAACCCAACATAGGTACTTTCGAAACCTTATAGTCAAAGGGATATTGATTACCTTCACATCGCTTGTGAGTTCCAATGATAACGCCGTAATCTCAGGAGATTTTACATCACAATTAGAGTCGAAGAAGACGAAAATGCTCTCTAACTGTATCCTAATTACTAATCGTTGAAGGTGTTTTTCCTTTTCCCTTGCTTTCCTTGAAGATATTGATGAGTTTTGTTGAACAAAATTGATGGATGGGGTAATTAGATTGAATTTCCATGGAAGGAATATGGGTAGTTCAATTAATTTCATCTCTGATGTGATTGCAAAGAATATTGTACAGCTCGTAGTCCCCTATTAAAATGTAGATTATATTAGCATTAAGGATCCGAAATGGAGAAAATTAAGAAAATTCATCAATGTGATAAATGTGGTAGTTTAACAGTCATTGTCCGTTGACCCACATGTTCAGAGCTTACATTTGAAGCTCTTGAATATTATCAAATAAAGAGATTGTGCCAGGGATGGAACTCTTGTCTTTTATTAAAATAATTGAAACATACAATCAAGTTTTGGTCTTTCTTTTCCATTTCCTTTATCAAATGGAAAAGCAACATTAACCTTGACAAGGGTATTTAATTAATTTGAAAGTATGATTAAAAAAAAAATCTTGAAAAAATATATATATATTTTCTGCTTCTGTAGCTGAGTGATTACTAATGTAGAAGGCTTGGGAAGCAAGTCTTTATTATTTGTGTATTGGAAAAAAAAGTGGTGTAGAGGAATTGGTTGAGGAGAGGAAAGAAGATTGATCAACTTTTTTCTAATCATGCCTTAGAAAGTGATGACAAAGAGGAAAGTGGATATGCTTCCCTCATGATTATAACTATCTGCTCTCTCTATTATTACTATTATTATTATTATTATTATTATTCCACCTCCACTTCCACTTCCACCGCAAACCCTAGCCGATCTCAGTCCTGTCAATGGCTGTCCCCTCCACTTCTATCTTTCCCTTTTCTTTTCTCCCTCTCTTTTTTAAAGACTTTGGATAAAAATGTACATTTACAAATGAACATTCAAAAATTTTAATGGAAGAGTAACTTTACTACTAGACTTCAATCATCCAACCCCTCTCCTTATTCCCTATAAAGCTGTTCTCTTTCTTTCTTTCTTTCTTTTCTTCTTTCACTACTTTGTGGGGTATATGGGGTATGATATCTCTGTTGGCTTACCTCCACTTTGTTTTTTCTTTTGCTTCTTTGCTTTCTTTTCTTTTCTTTTTTTTTTCCCCGTTACATATGCTGCATAAAATATATTTATCCGTGTTTTTTACTTATTTTCTTTTTAGGGCTTCAACATATATTCCCTTGCACCAGTCAAAGTTATTTTTGAACTGAACATGCATCTTGCTATGCCCACATTTCCCTGCCTTGGATATATATATATATATATATATATATCAGTCAAAGTTATTTTTGAACTGAAATGATCTTGGCTATGCCCACATTTCCTGCCTCTGGATATATATATATAATATATACCTTATATATATTAGCTTATTGCTTGCTTAGTTGCAACTTGCAAGGGGTCCCCAACATATATTCTCATTACATTTATATATTCAGATGTTGTCTTATTTACATCCTTTCTTTGAAAATGGGTTAATTAATCTTTTTGATCAGCAAGAAGAGCGGTCCAATCTATTTGTTTTTAAAATAAGACTTACCTATATTTCGTATATGGATGGTGCTCTATGTCAAATCAATTCGTAAAAAATTTTTTGAAATATTATTATTATTTTATCCTTTTTCCGGTGAATGCATTATAAATACGTCTATTACAACTAAAAATTCAATTTTTATTGATTTGGTATACAGGTCAATGCATATACTAAAAATAAGTAAGTCCTTTTCTTTATTTTTAATTTTTAATTACGGTTTCATATATAGTTTTTTTTTTTTTTTTTTTTTTTTTTTTTTTTTTTTCTTTTTTTTTTTTTTTTTTTTTTGTTACTCCACAAATTGTCTTATCAAAACCATAAAAATGGTTCCAAACAAAATAGAATGGGTTAAGTGAAAATTAACTGCAGTTGAATTAATGAAAGTAAATTAATTAAAATATCAAAATTTGAAGTCATTATTATTATTGGAAAGACTTTAAATACCACTCTTGATGGAACGTGAATAACATATAATATGTCATATTTATTATATGCAACACATAATTAGGCAAATGGTTGTTTTGTAATTTGACAATAAGGAATCGATCTTTCTTTAACCGTTAAACTGGAGAAACCCAAAACGCGGGATACTAAGATCTAAAGTTCAACTACATATCTTGAAATTGTCTCATATGGTAATTTGCAAGTGCCCACATTGCGCATGGAGTGAAGAGAAAGCAGCATCAATTCTTATCTAGCAGCAGCATTATCAGCGTAAGTGAATTTGAAAATTCCAATTTCTTATTGGTTTCACTTTTGGCAACAGTGGTCCTATAATACACACCAACCAAATCTAACCCATGTATCATATAAATTATAATTCTAATAAACATCAAACGGTCTTGAAATTGAAAATTAATACGTATGGCAATTGATTGCAATTAAACAGTAAAAAGAAATAAAAACAAACTGGGGAGCGGATGGATATATAGGACCATCAAAAATATTTGTGCGCCTGTGTTGATGAGTGATGGAAACAGTAGAACCAGATTATTCAAAAGCTTTTTCCTTGACATGATTGACCAGCCAAAAGGCTTTTCTCAGTGGATTATTAGGTGGCAATAATATCTACATGATGATATATCAATAAATATCTACATGAATGATAATATATTATATATAATATATAATATATATAATATATATATATATATATATAAGAGAATTTTTCCTTTTTTTAAAATAAAAAAAAAATAAAAATAAAAATTGGACTAGCCTGGATCATATAAGAGAATTTTTTCCTTTTTTTAAAAAAAATAAAAAATAAAAAATAAAAATTGGACTGCCTGGATCAACCCAACACTGCAAATGATTTGAAGATGGCTGCATTTCCCTAGAACATGATGCGTCCATCGCCATCCGATCAATTATTTGGTAATTTACATCGAATTTCGGTGCAACTAAAGATTCTAATAATATTAATTATAGATTGAAGAATAATAATAATAATAATTATTATTATTATTATTGAAGGCCAAGTAGCCATCATATGATCATAGTAAAAGAGAATTAAAGAAAGAATTTTCACTTTAATCGCCTGCTACGTAGGCTATAAGAAGTGGGTGTGGGTCTTTACATATATGCATGAAATGATGGGCAGGATGAATAATGGAGGGTCCCAAAATCAGCCTTTTGATCATCACAAAGGAATCCCTTGGATTGAGGAGTACTACTAGTTGTAGTAATTAGCAGCAGCCTTGAATCCTGGGTCCCTTTTTTTACTTTTTATGTGCATTAAACAAAAATAATATATCTGCATGTTTTCTTACCATTTTTATATAAATTATTTTGAATTAAATTTCTTATATTTTTAAATATCTTTTTATTATTTTAAATTTTTTAATGCTATAATTAATATACTCTCTGTCTTCTTTTTTTTTTTGAATAATATTATAATTTTTTAACTCAAATATTTTAAATGAAATAATCTAATTACAGTGCTAAAAATATCTATCTATAATTAGCGGTTGAAGTGGTGAGATCAACTTGAATTCTATGAAAAAAACACTAAATCTTGAAATAAAATTAGCTTTATATTTAACAAAATACGTAAAAAAATAGTTGGAAATAAATAAAGAAAAAGAAAATAAAAAACAGGGTATATTTAATTTGAGTAAGTTTCTCAATTTCAACGAGAATATGAAAGTGAAAGGGTATTCAACTCTTTTTAGAGATTTTGAAAGAAAAGGATTATTATATTATCCATTAACGCGTATCAGCAACAATATAAAAAGCAGAGAGAAGAAGAAGAAGAAAAAGCAGAAGAAGAAGAAGAAGAAGAAGAAGAAGAAGAAGAAGAAGAAGAAGGGAAGAAAACACGAAGAAGAAAGTGACGTGCATGTGATCAAACAGGCATTGTGTTCCCCTCATGAGAGTTCTAACCCAAAATAAACAAAACCCACCAATTACTGGTTAAGTATCTTTTTTTGACATTTGGGGTCTCAATACTTTTTTAGTTAATGATGTTTAGGTCATAACATAGTTATGTACTAATACTAAATTAAACAAAAATTAAAATTAATTGGACCCCATCTTTAGACAAGCCCAGACTTTGATCATCATCAACACCACCGACTAAAAGCATGTCATTAGTGGAATCCATCGGCCCCATATAATATCAACATCAACACTGATCTTTGCACATTCTGAAGAAATGGAATATACAAAATCGATCATATTTATTATTTATATGTATATATGTAGCATCTTTTTCACGTAGAAGAAGTAGAATCAATCAACAACGTCTTTAACAAAGGAGAATAAAAGGAAGAGGAAAGGAAATAGCTCTCTTGTTGTTCACTTCTTTTAATGTAAGCCTAAAGCTTGTGAAAATGAGCTTTTCTTTTTTATTCAGAGAAACAATTATATATAGAGAGAGAGTTTTAGTTTATATGTACAGAAACCCTTTTGGAATTGGACCTACGCTTTGCTTGCTAAAGAGATTAGTCTTCAAAGGAAGCTGCTTTTTAACGTCTTTTTTTTTTTTTTTTTTTTTTTGCTTTTTAAGCTACTTTTTTTTTTTTTTTTTTTTTTTTTTTTTTTTTAAATTTTTGGGACAAAAATTTAGCTTTTGCATGCAAATCAAATCCATCTTAGTCTAAAGTATTTTCATTAATTTATTATTAGATTCCTTTCAATTAAAACAACTTCCTTTACTTCACATTTGGGTCATTATGTCTTTTGTTTATCACATTTTAATTAATTTTTCTCTATTTTTTATTTAATTATGTTATATTTTTCAACAACTTCGAGAGAATAGAAATCGCTCTTGAAAAGGCTTTGTAAGCAGTAGTAATGTAAAATAAGTCACTTCTTCGAAATTGTGAAATTTGGTGCACCACAAATATGGGCCAATTGTTTGCAAAAGAATTTCAGCTCTCACCTTCTCTTCTCTCTTTCTTTTTCTTTGTTTTTTTTACGAATATCTCGTTTTCTTTTCTTTTCTTTTTTTGGTTTTTTACAAATCTTCTGCATCTTTTGTTACGATATTAAACTCATTTCAAGGTTCGTAACTACCACTCCCATAAATATAATATGCATATATAAATTCTTAATTTTTCCTTTCAAAAAAAAAACTTCTTAATTTTTAACTCTAATAATTAATTAACAGTATATTTTTTAATGTTAAAATAGTTGTCATATATATTTAAAATGTGTTTTGAATTTTTTTTTTTGGTTTTGAAAACTCTCCTCAAAATTAATTTTTACCCTCCTTTTTATTTTATAAATTTTATGTTGCCTTTTTTTAAACAAGTAAGTCATTTGTTTTTTTTGTTTTTTTGTTTTTTTTTTTTTTTTTTTTTTTTCATTTGTTTTTTTTGTTTTTTTTTTTTTTTTTTTTTTTTTTTTGATGCCAAAAAGCAGTATAAAGCAAAAATAAATGAACCTTCTTAATGGTTTGCTTGGAAGAAAGTAAAACAGGAGGATAAAAAATAACTATGAAAAATAAAAAGAGAAAATAGTTTTCTTTGGTTTGAAAACTGGAAAGAAAAGTATGGGAGAAACGAAAATATTCATTAAAATGCTTAATTTGGTCCAAATTGGAGAGAAAATAAAACAAGAGTGAGCCAAGTACGTAAATTTAATTATTGCATTAGCACATGTTTAATGCAAAAAATAATAAAAAAAACCTAATTTAATAAATTGTACACTGAATAGAAATGTCAGCTTTTCTGAATTCTGATCCACAATATCCGTTCATAGTGAGTTTTGAGGTCTGCAAAAACATATCACTGCAGGGTGAGAGTATTTGGTGTGAAAAGAAATTATAAACTCAAAAAAAAAAAAAAAAAACCAAAAAAACTCAAAAAAAAAAAAAAAAAAAAAAAACCAAGAGATAAGAGTTTTTTCTTTTCCTTTTTTTTTAATGAAGGAAAGAGATAGAACCAGATTAAAATAAAATAATAAAAATTCATATGGTCCACATGAATTCTGTTATGTGAAACAAATTGAAGATAGAAACTGATAGAGGAATAATTGCAAAATCATCATTTTCCAATGTGGAATTTTCATACACACGATCAATATATATCGTTAATAAATTTATGATGATCATCGTACAATTTTCATAATTACCACTACAATTAGTTATTACTAATTAGATCAAAAGAAGAAGTGATAATTACTTAATTAGAAATTAGCACTATTTCAGTATAATCAAAACATCAAACACATGAGAAATTAACACTTTGCATGCCACATCCACTGTATCGATAATAATAATTACATCCATGTACTAAA